GGCCATGCCTCGAAACCACCGATGATGCAGCTCGAAAATGCTGAATAAAGTCAAAGTAATTTAAAGTTGGATGGGAAAAGTGCGGAATGCTGAAACCAATTAGGGTGAGCCAAAAACATGGGATGAGCTTGGAAACTTGATGGTCCTTGCAATTTTAAATTATTTGAACAAAAGAGAAAGATATTTAAAAATGCTCTATATATGGAAAACGAGAAAATCGACCACATAAATTGTAGGCTCTACGCGAACGATTCCGCAATTCGCTGATCTCCGCAAAATTTGCATGCATTTCCCCCAAGGCTACAAGCAGATAAGTGTCATTATTTTTTGTGTTTTAATTTCGACACAAGCTTTAATTAAACAAATGGGGATGATGACAACGGAAAGCCCATAAAGCCGGCAGCCAGACAAAGGAATCAACGGAAAGGCGGGCGAAGGAAAGGCGCTGCATGCACATAAACAACGAGCAGCAACAATCACCATTGTCAGCCACAATTATCCAGGCAGGTGCTCAGAACCCACAACAAAACCCGCGCAGGAGGAGGATTGGTGGGCGGCAAGGCGTTGGAACAGGAAAGACGAACGGTTCACGGGTAGATACGCGTTACTTAAGCGGTTGGTTGAAGGTGTAGGTGTGGCTGACAATGGCTGAACGGGCCAAAAAGGGGTGGCTGCAATTGAAAGTCTGTAAGCCGATTGCCCCAGGCGGCTAAAGCTGGGGAGCACGAGTTCAGGTGGGCCAAGCTGCGGATCTGAGTAGTTAGGTGGATGGGTAGCTGGGTGGCTGGGTAGCTGGGGAGTTGGCAAAGTGCAGACATCCTATTTATGTCAATTCGCAAAGTTGAGCGGGAAAGGAGAAACTCAACTTCAAGGTTTTCCTGGAAACAAGCGCTAAATTCCAAGAGATAAACAGCGACTTGTCGGCAGTCGGCGGAAGCAGGAAGCAATGGCTCTTGGTAAACAAATCCAATCAATTTTTTTGCGGCGCTTAGCGTCTTTGCTGGATAAACAATAATTTAATTTAGGGATGGCAGCCATGGGACTAAAAATACAAAAAGAAATAAAAGGACTTCATGCGAATTGTTGGGGAAAAAGTGAATATAAGTATGCCACTAACGTTTTGAATACAAAAATATTGGCAGCTAAAATGTATTTTTTGGCCTACACTCACATGAGCACCCTGTTCCACGGAGCCGCCCGCTCCAGCAGGATCAGCCCGGAACACTTAAGCCCTAATGGCAACCCAAACATACGTCCTGGAAGGGCCAATAGCCCAGGGATGACATCGGCGGCACTTGAGTAAATGCGTTTGCCCCTCCTCCATGCTGCGTTCTACTCCTGCCTCCTAACTCCTGCCACGCCCCTTGAGCTGGGCGCCAAGTGACGGTAATCTTCAGAAACTCCCCGCAGCGATAAAATATATGCGGTCGATATTTACGCATTTATTTACGCCGCTCTTTATTAGCTTTTTATCGTCTATTTATTTTGCTCGTTACGTTCGCGTCCCCACAGTCGCGAATTCACGCCCAGCTATTTTTGGACTCGCAATGGGAGCGATAGGAGGGTCCACATCATGGATTGAATGCCTGTAGCCAAGCAGACGGAGGCTGAGGGGAATCCATCCCATGGCTTATGGGGACATCGATCATGCTGCAGTGAAAGCTCTTCGGAATGGAATGCAAATGAAGCTTGGGTCACCGAAATCCCGCGCTGATTGATAAGCGCCGTCTTCATCACCATTACCACCATTATCGTGCGGTTCCACTCGCCCAAATTGAAATGCAAAGTGTAACCAAAGCCGCTAACACCTGGACCCGACTGCCCCACTACCACTGCCCGAATTGCCCAGCTCGGGTTCCTCCCTCCTTCTATCCCGAAACGAAATTGAATTAGCATTTATGCTCCCCCACCGCACGCCCCTTCCACTCTCCTTGGAACAGTTTGTCAAGGGGGGTACCTTATTAAAAGCTTTGTGTTCGGCTAAAAACACAAAGTAATTAGTAGGTTAGTCTAATGTCTCTTTCCGGAGAAGAAGGTGAGTCCACTTTATTTCAGTAGACAGGTGCTCGAATTTGAAATTGCATGCTTAGCAACTAGCAATATCCTTTGATCTTTCGAAAGTCTATTTAAAATCAATCAGTATTACTTATCAATCAGCTTACTGCGCTTAACCTCGCGTCAGACCAGAATTCTTCAAATTTCTCACTTTAATGCCAACATTCAATTCTATTAATTTCCAAATCATTGCCTCATCATCATGGACCATACACTTTCTTTCCCTCTGCGCATAAATCATTCTGAAATGTATCGCAGTCCAATGAACCCAGTGCGCTCAATTAAAGCTGCAGTGCGGCATGGCATTAAGTGGACGGCTCCCCTACTCCCATGTAACTCCTCCCACCCACTGACCACTTCGCTTGGGGCTATTCTGCTGAAATTCCATTGTGTGGCAATCCCGCCAGCAGCATAGGCACTCTGCAGTTTCGGGCAATTTGCTTGGGACACTTATTTTTAGCCACACAGCGCAAAATCGCCGAGCAATGACTTTCTTATGCGCCGCGGATGCGAATGTCGTTGGAATATTCGAGGGCAGCAGTTCGTAGTCCGTTTATTAAATCGGTAACTATTCTAGTGACTAAAATGTAAAGGATAGGATGCAATGCACCAGATCCTACATAGCTATATGCTCCATTGTGACCTGCGCCACCTATAGCTATAGTTCCCAGGGCCAAAGAGGCCGTTCTTTCCCCTCAAGAACAGACATACATGCACTCAAGACCCCCGAGAGCTGCCCTTCACAAACACACATCTGTGCGAGGAACCACACCCATGCCATAAGGGGCAATCGGTCTTGTGATGGGCAACACTCCGACGACCTTGATCCGAGCACAATTTGGCCCCACTCATTAAGGCGATGTTTATAATGTGCGAGTGTTTTCGACTAATTAAAGCAGGCGGCCAAGCCAAACAGCATCGCCATCAGCCGGGAAACGCTGGGTGAGACTGGGTGCCTGAGCCCGCCACCCACGGCCACTTGTGCCTAATCAGATATATATATCGATGCTACTGGGCTGGGACTGGAGACTGGGACTGTTGTTTCTACTGGGAAAGCGTCGGCAAGGGTGAAGCACATTAAACGCCCCGCCATGCTGGCCACATAAATCTGAATTAGGGGCAAGCAGGCAGCAAGCAACAAACAAAATAGAGTATCGATCTCACGATCCGTGGTCACTTGATGCCGGTACCTCGTAAATGGTATTCATAACTCTCACCCGCTCCACCAGGGATTCGGCGCGGCGCGCGAAGGAGGCGCGTTTGTCGGCGATGGACATGGTTGGGCTGGGGGCTTTGGATCGGTAACTGGGACTGGACTATCAGGATAATAGGAGCCCGATCTCGGGCAAGTCCGGCACGTCACAGGGGGCAGGTATCACCGGTATCACGCAACTGCAACGAAAAGAGGGAGAACTTCAAACAGGCTGTTATCTAAGGCACCCAATCGATATGGATTTCGGTTTGTAAACACTAAGCAAATATCACACGGCACACGTAGCCCCTAAGTCGAAGCATATGAAAATTCGGTAGATATCGCTTTTGGACACCAAGACCTATCCGCAAGTACCAGTTCCTATTCAGCAGCCATCTTGCTTGCCTTCCCACATGGCAATTGCTGGTTTCTATTCTTAGGGTTAAGCAATTTGTTCATTGTTCATATAGCATTATTTGTCTCTTGCGTGCCAAATCGCGCCAAAATGATGTATCAGGGCATCATTTGGTGCAGGAAAACTGCCGCGACTTTGTCATATTCCGCCAAAAATATTACACACAGAGAAAAACTGTGCTGATCAACTGGGTGCTTGAATGCAGTCAATTGCAAGCACCACCCAATTGAATGGTACTTTGGTATAGGAGCTTTACCGTGCGGAGCGAATCGAATATAGCGCTCAACCACCGAGCTCGGCATAAATATTAGTGCGGAAGTTATCAACTGGCATTAAAGGCGAAGCGGGAAAGACGCGACTTCCGGCGGAGACGATCGCGTGCGATAGAAACGCGTCCAAATCGGAGGAAACCCGCCGTAGAACTGATGACAAACCCGGTCCGAATGGTCGACTTTTGTAGCGTGGCGAGCATAAAGAGAGTGTTCAAATGGGAAATTCATTATTTTATTTTTAAACGCAGTCGCCCTCTCTGTCTCCGTCGATTTGCCTTTTCCCTACTGTTGCTACTGTTTCTCGTCAGATTGATTTATGGATTTCGCTGCAACAGGTGGTGGTCAGTTGACAGGGCGCCGAAAGACCGCTGGACACAACCACTGGCTGCATTCTGGAGAACTGATTGGGGCACAAAGCTGCTTGCAATTTGCATAATGCTATCAAAGAAAACTTGCACCCAATTATGATAGTCGTCGGATTGACGCAATAGGCCTGATTAGCTGAAAAGTCCAAGTCTTGTAAGCATGAAACTGTAGTTCTAATTAAAAAAACGGAAAATTGAATGGAAAACCATATCAGCCAGCACTCATCATCTAATAGTAAAAAGGAGAAGAAATTTACAATGTTCATGCTTTTATTTGTTACCAATCCGCCGTGCAACTTATCATAATGGGAAATTCAAATACAAACTATTAACACATGAGATTTGAATATCTACATTTTACTTTACTTGTGTCAACATTAATGACATTCTACAAAGTAAAACCTGAAGTTCTACATAAGTAGAGGTTGCACTAGCGAGGTTTCACACCTCGCCTAGCGAAGTAATCCTCCTGTTAAATTTTCCCTTAGCGGAGCTAGCCACCACGACCGCATTGCTAATTTGTTCAAAATGATAATAGTTTAAAATGACCACCTTGATATTATTTCCTATGCATAATAGACTAAGTTTTGGCTAAAATAATATAAAAAAATAGTTGGCTATCTTAAAATCCCAAATATTGGTATCCTACAACTTGGCGAAATTCCCCGGCACTTTTTAACGGTTGCTTGCTCTGCGAAAGTAATCGATGGTAGCGAGGAGCGAATCGATGAGCGCTTGTCGATTGTATCGAACAAACATTGATTCTAGTTCCAGCCCTATTTTTTGTGCAATTATTTATTAAAAATAAGCAACGACGTGAGCCCACGACACGACCCACGAACGAAGGCAACGAAATGGCAACGCGCGGCGGACCTATGGTCGCGGGCACCGATGGCAACGACTTCGAGTTCAGGCAGCGCGTAGCTGGCACATATCAAATTAGGTTAATAACACTGTCCTATCGGCAACTCTCTCCTACACACGAAATTATCTAATTACTGGGGCGCCTGCGACAGTAGGTGCATGTGGCAGCTACCGCATCCGCATCGGAAGTGGCCCCCAGGCTGGGCGGAGGAGCACCCTGGAGCTCCCACCCACTTGCTGCTGCAGGAGGCGGGTGGGCAAAGTGCCAGCTAGGCAGCATGTGCGCCCCAGTAACGGGCTCACCCACACAGAGTCCCCATTGAACGACCACTTTCTCTGCTCTTTTAGCCTGCTGAACAAGTCCAGGTTGAAGTACTGCATCTTCTTTCACGCCCTGCTCTTCTTCGTGATGCTGGCCAAGCTCACGTCGGACATCCTGGACCGCCTGGATATCTTCGTGCTGGAGATCGAGGAGCTGGAAGTCCCACCGCCCCTGTGGTGGGAGTACGTGTGGGCCGCGTCGTTGCTCACCTCCTTCCTGGGCCTTTCGGCCGCCAGGGGCAACAAGGTGCGCGAAATGCAAAAGTATATGGTGGCCATCCTGCTATTCTCCATCCTACCGCTCTTTTACTGCTTCGCCTACTACTTCTCGGACGTGTGGGAGTTCGCCACGCTGGACAAGTCGGTGGAGCTGGACGAGACAGACATCTTTGTGTGGCGCGTAAGTGGCCGGGCCCGTTAACCCGTTAAGAACCTTACTAATCCTTCGTTTCCCTGCAGGGCTACCCTTACGGCGTCTTCTGGTACGCCTTCTGCTTCGTGGGCTTTCAGGTGCACGGATTTACGCTGTACTTCGCCTACAACCTAGTCAAGGCCTGGAAGGCCAGAACTGCCACGCGCAAGTTCCAGTAATCTAAATACTCGCCAAACTAGTAAACGCCGGAAAGCAGGGCTAGTTGTAAATAATTTGGAAACATGAAACTAACTCAAAACACTAGTGCACAAAAGCGTTATGAAACTATGGTAAATCTAAAGTTATGCAGCTGTTAAGGTATCGCACACTTAGTCATACAGGAAGGGAAACATATGGTCGAAACTTAACCAAGCGTCGGCGGTAAAGTTATTGTTAGTTGAAAGTTAAACCGTTCAAATTGATTAAATAGACTCTTATCCATATACACAAAGACATATATACACACACGCAGCCTTGTGAGGTCAACTAAAGACAAGAAGCAACTGAAGCCACCAAATTTCCCCGAGTCGGAATAAAAACTGAAAAGCAACCTAGAGATCACTTCATTTTTGCTCACTTACATTTCGACGTGCCTCGTGTTTGTTAGAAACGTTTTATATATATTTACACATGAAAATATGCGTACATCAGTCTATGTTTACGTCCGCGGATGGTTACTTCCTCGCTTAGTTGATAATTAGTTCACTTTTCTACAAATTTCGAAACCGTTTCATTTTTGCAAGTACATTAATTTTGAATTTTATTCATCGAACTGCGCAGTGCCATGCTGTGAGTCGGGTGGCGAACGTTTGAAAACTGCCCCAAACTATTTACAACTTTCTGTCACTGTTTACACACTACAATAAATAAGGATTCAAATGCAATTTGAGTGTTAAAGCAAAGTCTTTCAATTTCTGATCGTCAATAATACTGTGTAATGACGGGCATGTCGCCAAACTAAACTGAGAATTGAATTTTAATGTAATACGTTTTTTAAATCGTAATTTATTATTCGAATTTTTAAGTAGTTTTTTAAAAATCGATCAATAAAGATGCATATATATTTGTTCTTCTGAGTGGGTTAAACATCGCATTTCCTTGTGGGTTCCCCTAGAAAGTTGTTAGGGTTGAAGTAAAACAAAAATCGCTAGGCATAAGTCAGTTAATATTTTGAAAGTAAAATAAATCAAGTCAAACCCCATTTTTATGTTCATATATTAATTATTTTTAAAGAGCATTATTTTCTGAAAAACACCACCCTATAAGGACCTTCCACCCATCCAATCCAACCCCACAGGCCGATGCAATGCGGCTGGCAGGCCGAGTTGGCCACAACAATCCAGCTTTTAGTGACCATTTGTGCATCGAGGCGAGTGGAGGAGCAACAGCAGGCGAACATTGCGCAATTGTTTACAATTGCCGACGGAGAGCCAGAAAGCTGAGAGAGAGGAAAAGCTGGGGAAGAGAGCCAAAGCTTTTCCGCAGCATCCTTTTCTCCCAGGCGCGCTCTATACTCCACTTAATTCCCATTTCGACGTTGCCTGTGCGAGGAACAGATGCCAAATTTTACAACATACCATATCGGAACGAAGTAAACACGGCAACTAACAAAAAATTAAAAAGTTCAAAATTCAAAATTACGAAATCATTGAAATTAAATTAAGAAGAACGAGTGGAGCGGAATGCGGGGCGAGGAGGCGACCTACAGGCGCACCACGCGCGAGAAGATTGTTCTGCGAGGGAACACCACCATTCGCACAGTGGACTCCACTTCCACATACCTGCCCGTGATGAGTCCTGCGGGGTGAGTGCTTCGCGAGGGGATGGACGAAGGGGTGGCAGTTGGAGACGCAAGGCGTGCCGAGACATTGGAGCGTTCCATGACTGTCGCCCCGGAATCGATTTTTATCTCGGGCTGCAGCTGATTTTCAGATACAGATACTATATGTGTGCGTGTCCGAAACGGCCTTCGCTTGTCGGATTCTGCCTATATGTATCTTTAAATGTTGACACACCACTCCAGGCCCACTAATGGCGCTGCTCTCAAACGTATGCTATAGTTTCTGGTCCCCGCCGTTGGGCCAACTCGAGAACCGGCTTTCTTGGCCCGCATGCAAGCCTGCCATTAAATTACATTGCCGGCAGATTATTGGGAAACCACTGCTGTTTGAGTAAATACTCGGGCATACATAAGTGAGTGGAACGCCTTGCTTTTCCCGAAAATCGATGGAATCTTGAGTTAGAAGCTAGCGTGCATTGACCACAGTCCGCCGCGTTGGGTAACACAAGGAGCTGAAAGTGTTGTGGGGTGAAATCGAAGCACGAATGTCCTTCCACTTTAGATAAACAACTGTGGTCAGGATGTAAACAGTTGTAGAAATATAACGAGTTATCGTTATCTTATTTTACTTTATTTTGTATGTGCTGTTTTTTATATATGTATTTCAAAAGCACTTGAAATAGCCACTATAAGAATTTGTGTAACTAAATTGTTGTTTACATCGCAAGAAAAACAAGCATAAATCCATTGAACTGGAAATCCCAGCAATATATTTGAATTTCAATACATTTTTAGAAAAAGTCTCGATCGCATTCACCGCCTCCGATCAGCGAGTTCCCTGTTACCCAAGTAGCAAGTACCAAGAAGCACCCTTTCCCCGTAATTTACCATAATTGAAACCGCCCCCAGCAGCGCCCAAGCGAAACTTCCTTTAACCTCAATTCGCATTCACACGGACTCACACCGGCCAACTGGGAAAACTACCCGGTCCGGAATGGTAGTGGTAGTCGCTTTGTTGTGGACGCGTCGTCCAGTCGAGTGGTCAGTTTCAGTTGGTCTACAACCCTCGAGTTGTCAGGTGGAAGCTCGCCTAGTCGCGTCGCGTTTTCGAACTCCTAGTGGGAGCCAATCGAAGACTCCGGGCGCAGACTGTCAGGGAGCAAAGTTTTCGCCCGAACATATCCGCGTGTGTTTTCAAATTCAAAGTGAAGTGTTTGTCTCGTCCTTAAGTGTCTGACTCTGGGACCGCGCCATGTTCAACACCAGTGCCCAGAATTGGTTCGGCATGGGCCAGGCATCCGTGGATCCGAGCGGCGGAGTGGCCCAGCTGCTCAACAACACTTCGAGTCTCTACAATCAGCAGCAGCAGGCGGCGCCGCATTCCTTCATGCGCCAGCGATCGCTGACCAGTTCCAATCCCGCCCTGGAGCGCTCAAACGCTTTAGCCACGCGGCCCCAGTCGCCGCCCAACGTCCAGGTTGAGTACGAGGTGGCGGTACCCTTCGTATCCACCTACCGGCACACCCCGTACCACTCCCTCTGGGATCTGCACCAGTGGTAAGAGCTAGCGGAGATCTGAAGCACAAGAAATCCATCTATATTTGAAAGCACAAGACAGGGGCACATGATTTCCATAAAAGGAATTGTAAAACAGTAATGTAAACGAATTGTATTGGAATTCCTTGACCTGGCAGTTAATAACAACCTCGTTGGTGGGTAAGCTATCAACCTCAAAGTATTTCCTTTGTTGCATACGACGCAAATTTTCTCCAAGAAAGCTGCCCTCTTGACCCCATCCAGTTTCCTCCGCGAATATATTTCTTCTTTCATAATTGCCATTTCGCTGTAATTTGCATAGGACGAAATGTCCTGAGTGGTGAGTGGATTAGCATAAACACCTCTTGGTGACACGAATTTTAAGGGGCTCATCACGGACTAAGAGTCCAAGGAAATCCGCCATGCTGGTGCTTTTCCACGCCTATGCCGGCCTTGTAACACTTTGCCAATCAATCAATGCTCAGTTAAAATGCAAGTAATTCCCAGATTATGACCCATTGATTCGTGCATAGTATATGGAACAAATAGGCTGTGGCCTAGTTCGCTCCACTAATCATTCCCATCAGGAACAAGGAATCAAGAATCTGAATTCGTGGGCGAGCACATAGGAAACATTAACCCAAATTCGAGCGAGTACAGCTCGCAATATAAATACCAAGCGGATGTGCCAGGAGTCAGGCAATGTTGCCGGGAATTATGGCTGCGCTGCTGCTAGCAACTTAATTAGCCTGGCGTAAAATATATTGCGGCCCACTTCCCAGATCGAGATTTACAATGTTGCCGCCGGAATGGCCTTAAAGGCTTTAATGTCTCCGGATGACGCATGCGAAGGCGAAAAACACACCAAAAATACATTTCAAATGCGAATAGAAAAGTTAACAATTGTCGCCGGCACGTCAATAACCTGGCCAAGAGCCAGCGAGTTTATTGACCCCACCTGCGGTTTGAACAGGCGCCCACTTGGGAGGCACTACTAACTCTTCGTTTCCCGGAAATTCCCGAGCATTGTCTGCGGAGGGGCAGGTCAGGATGGGAGGGTCCTCCGCAAGGGCTAACTAATATTAGACGGCTAGACACGAGGATTCCAACCGGTATATGTATGCACACACCTCTACACGCGAGGCACTTGTCCGCGGCTGATAAAGCAAATGACCTTTGCGACATGGCCAAGTTGAATGGCAGCTCCATGGAGCCACCAAATAGTTATGGGGGTCGTTAACTACGGGTTTTAAAAATCAGCCCTTGGGATTTCGTTTGGTTTGTTGTGGGCTTTTGTATCCCTATCAGTCATATGCCATGTTTATAATAAGTTATTTAAAAAATCCGTATGTGCCGTAATTTCATGCATATAGCATAGTTCCCCACAGCAAGCGAATTAAGCTTTCCAAAGGTATTTGAACCCTTATGATCACTCTTTTTTCCCGAAACGTACCTTACAGACCAGGCCATGTTTATGTAATCTCCCAGAGGGAGAATAAATATTGATCACATTGGTTATCAAGATGGAACGCTGTATTTCAGGTAACAAGTATTTCTACAATGTGCAACATCTGTGCAATGTAAATAAATACTTAAGTTAATTGCCAAATATTTATGTACTTGTATTTTATGTATGTACTTGGAACTTTTGGCATTGGTCATGTTAAGTTATGATAGGCAGATTCCTCTTTCCTGATTTAATATTGCCAATTTAGTCAAGAAGGACCTTCAATGGATACCCTTTCCTTTCCAGCTCATCCACACCGCCGACAAGCCTTTCGCACATGGCCCGGATGATGGACTCTCTGATCCTGGACTCGCTGTCCCCGTTTGCCTTCACAAAGATCACGGCCACCAGTCGACCATCTCGGAACGCCAGCTTGAAGAAGAGCTCGGATGGCGGACACTCCTCGACAGCGGAGCGCCACCGGCCTATCAACAACCTGGGCTCGAATGCACCTGGAGGATTGGGCATTGGCGGAAGTGTCCCGTTGCGCAGCAAACAGCGGCTACCCACGCAAGGTTTGTGCTCCGGGTGGCAGGGTTTCCTATATAAACATTAAAATGCAGTTTCCGCCGCAGAAGTGGCACCCCAACCCCGAGCCAATCAGACGGCCCAGATGCCATTTCCATCGCAGCAGCAGGATAATCGCTGGGTGTCCTCCCTGCGCCGTCGGGATCCCGAGCTGCAGCCCACACTACCCTCCATCAACAGCAATGCGAACAGCAGCAGCCTTAGCCAGAGCCACCACGGAAGTGCCGGGAACGTGGGATTGGCGGGAGCAGGAGCACCTACACCGGCCGTCAGCATGGGCGCGATGCGCTTGGGGCGACCAGCAAGGGCCTCCGCCATGACCGCCGCCTTGCGGAAGAGCAGATCCGTGGAGCGTCTGCGGGCCAGAAAGCTGAGCACAAACACCCAGCTTAACTTGAAGCACAAGCCGGTTAAGAAGAACTCGCTGGACGAAAACTCCAACTCGGATGACCAAGACGCCACTACATCTCTGGAGGACAACTCGCATGCCCAGTCCCTAGCCACCAGTCACAACACGCCCAAGTGCTCGCCCAAGACCAAGGCCAAGCACTTCTCGCCCTTGGGCTACGAGGTCCATCTGGTGGACACCCTGGAGAAGGACATCCTGCAGCGGCATCCGTGCATCAAGTGGACCGATGTAGCTGGGCTCAACGAGGCCAAGACAATACTCCAGGTGAGCTTTTATGTTACGAGTCGAGGTACTATCTTACATTAAAAAAAAATGTTATGAAAAAATCCTCGTTTCAATTTAATTATACTGTTTGCAAACTTTCTGATATTCAACTTACTATAATATACATATCTATCTGTGATTTTTTATGCCCGTTACTCGTAGAGTGTGTACTAGATTCGATTAAAATTATGTAACAGGCAGGAGGAAACGTTTCCGACTATATAAAGTATATAAATTCTTGATCAGGATCAATAGCCGAGTCGATCTGGCCATGTCCGTCTGTCAGTCCGACTGTCCGTATGAACGCCTCGATCTCAAAAACTACAAAAGATTAAGAATGAGATTAAGCATGCAGCTTCCGGAGACATGGACGCAGCACAAGTTTGTTTCAAAAAACTGTCACGCCCACACTTTTGAAAAATGTGATATTTTTTGACTGTTTTAAATACTTTTACGGATATTCCAGAAAGCTGAGTAACGGGTATCTGGTAGTCGGGGATCTTTTGTTTGTTTGGACATGTTCAAAATTGAATCCCTAAAATATAAAATTGCAGCTCGGAAAATGCGAATTAACTGATTCAAATTGAGGACCTAAAATAATAGAAGCTAAATTCATACTTCTTTTTCGCCCAAACAGGAAGCAGTGGTGCTTCCGGTAATCATGCCGGAGTTCTTCAAGGGAATCCGCCGACCGTGGCGTGGAGTTTTGATGGTCGGTCCGCCGGGAACAGGCAAAACAATGCTGGCCAAGGCGGTGGCCACAGAATGCGGAACCACCTTCTTTAACGTATCGTCCTCTACCCTTACCTCCAAGTACCGAGGAGAGAGCGAGAAGCTGGTGCGGCTCCTGTTTGAGATGGCTCGCTTTTATGCGCCCAGCACCATTTTTATCGACGAGATCGACGCCCTATGCGCCTCCAGGGGCAGTGATTCGGAGCACGAAGCCAGTCGACGGTTCAAGGCCGAGCTGCTCATCCAGATGGACGGACTAAACGCGAGCATGCAGGAGGAGAAGGTTATCATGGTGCTGGCGGCCACCAATCACCCGTGGGACATCGATGAGGCCTTCCGGAGACGTTTTGAAAAGCGAATCTATATTCCTCTCCCAAACGGTAAGTATGTTCATCCTTTCGTGCAGTGAATAATAGTAATATTCTTCCGCAGAGGACACCCGATCGGCTCTGCTCAAGCTCTGTCTGAAGGACGTATGCTTGTCGCCTAGTCTGAACACAGGAATGATCGGCGACGAACTGCAGGGCTACTCGGGGTCGGACATAAGTAACGTATGCCGTGACGCCTCAATGATGGCCATGCGGCGTCTTATTTCCGGACGCACTCCCGATCAGATTAAGCAGATCCGCCGCGAGGAGGTGGACCAGCCGATTACTTTGCAGGACTTCCAGGACGCCCGTCTGCGCACCAAAAAGTCTGTGTCTGCCGACGACGTTACCCGCTTCGAAAAGTGGATGGAGGAATATGGGTCTTGCTAGTTGTACGGGCTGTTGGCCCAGCACCCTTGATTCTATCCCATGTGTACTTCCAAGTCCCGATCGCAATATTTTTTGTAACCTGTATAAATCGTACTTGTTAGCCGTATATATATACGCTTATTTGCTCAAGTGCCCCACGCCCAGCATTGCTCCTCTATGTACGTGCACACGGTAATCTGATATCTTATAAATACATAATATATACAATAAAAACATATGTAATTTTTAATATTTATTCAAAAGAATCCTACCATAGGCTTATAGCAACATAATGTATTTTGTAATCAGCATATTTGAAAACAGAGAAACGAAATAAATTAATCAACACCCTTTGGATCCACAGACCCTACTAGGCCCTCAATTTGGCAATGGTGCTCTGGTAATCTTGCTCGACCACCCTGTATTCCTCTTGCAGCTGCTCCATGCGTTGTTGAATCGTTGGCAGGCGAGCACGCAGCATTTCAGTGTCCATCTTGAAGCGCTCCATTTTCTTTAAATCCTTCAACTGCTTGTAATAGACCGCGTTAAGCCGTTTCTTAACTTCCAGACGATAGGGCCGGTACTCCTTTTCATCCTTCACATTGGTGTAGAATAGACGCAACAGCTCGTACACTTTACGCACCTGGCGGGGATTGAGCTTCAGAGCCTCGCGAGCTTCCCGCACCATCTCCTTGTTAAAACCCTTGACTATCTCGCCTCGGGCAAACGACTTCAATTCCATGCAAGATCGCGCGTCTACAAAATTCCGCAAGCGCTGGAACTCCTCAGATGGATCCTCCACTGTTATGTCCACAACATTCTTCTGCGACTGATAAAATTTGTAAATGCTCTCGACCAACTGGGTAGCCAAGCCGAGTTTCTGGAAAGGCGGCAGTATAAGCATCTGACTTATCCTGGGTCTCTTGTTTTGGGGATAGGCGTAGTACTCGTATACGGTGGTGTAACCAGCTGTGGCGTATTGATACTGGCCATCGTTGTTCTTGTACTTTTCGTAGCTGAATGAACGAGAAGACGTTGCTTAAATAGTTTTAGTCCTATATAAGTTCTTTAGGACTTTTACATACTGATAGCAAAATAAGCCAATCTTGTCCTAGAAAACTTACCACAAGAAGTAGCACCACTGTGGATCATCAGTGTCGATGTAGGAGGCAGCGTCCACGAACCACAAGATGAATGTCTGCAGCCGGGCAAAGAACTTTAAGAATGATAAGCTCTTGTAGTCGCACTGGTAGATCTCGAAAAGGCGCTCGCTGCCATCGTCCGATACCCGTTTGTATTCGCTAATCTTCTCTCCGAAGGGCTGGAATTTGTCAGCCTTGTCCAGAGTCTTGAGAAACTCATCAAGATTGATGAAGTAGCAGCCGTCTGGCAGACTCTGGGCAATTGTGCTGACGACGTCGTCGGCTTTGATCTCTCCGCCGGAGATCTCATTCACCCGTTTGCCGTAATCGACGCCCAGGTAGATGTGCAAAGGTCCTGCCGTGTACATTACACGCACGTGCAAGTCCTGGTAGCCGAAGATGGTCTCGGTCTCGCCGAAAATCTGGTGGGCCATTGCGGGATGGAAAGTCAGGGCGTCATTGTTGATGTCGGCCTTGTCTCGGACTATAAGCAGAAACATTGCAGGGCTACCTTAGTACCAAACAAGGATACTTACTCAGCTTAAAGTCCACCACTTCGAGAGCATCGATCACCAGGTCCTGGTACTTCTCGATTTGTGCCATTGTGTAGTCCTTCAAAAGGCGCCAATCAATTTGCTTCCGCAGATGCTGGACCAGAAGATCTTTCCGGATCTTACTGCTTGTGGCTGTCACGTAGATAGCAGCTAACTTATTGCTTAAAATATCCGAAAGCACGTTTTTTGCAAAACCAGACAGTTTTTGCGGGTGTTCTAGGCCAATTTTCGCGGCTAAACAAAGTGATTGGCTTTCCAACAGTGTTGGACAACGAAAGTCAGCCTACACTACACCAACCACGGATAGGGCTGTCAGATGTGACGATTAAACTATCGGTGCCGTGATGAGAATTGATATATAAACTATATTATATGTGTATTATTGTATGTGGTAAAATTAGATTTTGTATGAAATAGTTAAGTGCATAATTTTAATTCATCATCGTGACCACTTAGCTCACACATTGTCACTTTATACAAATATTAGTATCTTCTAATTGGAAGTTACGCGATTTGTGTTGAACATAGTAGCCAAGTCTTGTGTCGATACTTAACTCTATGACAACCCTATGCAAAATGTACCGTTTTTTCTGGATTTTCCAGACTTTAATTTTTCTAACAAATATTGCGAAATCGATTTCATTTAAAATTCTTAAAAAACCTTCAGCACGTTCGTTTTTACAAAAATTTGTTTAAATGTGACACTTCTCGCGCTCGGTACTATCACTTCAAAATTTACCCTTTTCAACACTATAAAATCCCGCAGCCAACTTAACACAGCATTTGTAAGCAAAAATTTCTGCGGAGAATATTATTAGAAAAAAGCCGCTTTTGCATCCAACTACTCTAAGAAAAGGATCAGGCAAATCCACCAGGTTGAAAGAAGACGACGTATATCATTTCCCATAGTGAAGAACAAGTACATTCTACAGCAGAACAAAGGCGAGAACTAGGTAGGTGAGAAAAGTGCCTCGTCATAGCGGTAAAAATTGAAGTAAACATTGTTTTGTAGAGCACAATGGACACCTATTTGTTTGATGGCGGCCGCATCACCAAGATGGAGGTGGACTACGAGCCGGCCTGCAACGAAAAAATCCCCCTGGCCAAGGAGCTGGCGAAGAAAAACCCCGACGCATTTCACGAAGCCATCGAGATGATGCTACAACTGGAGAAGCAGACTCGCCTGGGTGCTGACATGGTTTCCTGCTCACGAGTTCTAGTGGCCATCTGCCAGATCTGCTTTGACGCGTCCAACTGGAACGCCCTTAACGAGTACGTTTCCCTGCTTGTACGCCGTCGGTCCCAGCTGAAGCAGGCCGTGGTCAAGATGATCCAAGAGTGCGTCACGTACGTGGACAAGACGCCCGATAAGGAGACTAAGCTGAAGCTGATCGACACACTTCGCTCGGTTACCGAGGGCAAGATTTACGTTGAGATCGAGCGGGCCCGTCTCACTAAGATCCTGGCCGACATTAAAGAGGCTGATGGCGATGTCGCCGGAGCTGCCACCGTCATGGAGGAGCTACAAGTGGAGACATATGGCTCGATGGATAAGCGCGAGAAGGTGGAGCTCATCCTGGAGCAGATGCGCCTTTGCCTGCTGAAGGAGGACTACGTATCAACGCAGATCATTGCCAAGAAGATCAGCATAAAGTTCTTCGATGATCCGGCACAGCATGATCTCAAGCTAAAGTTCTACTATCTAATGATTCAGTTGAACAGAGACACCTCCTTCCTAAATACATCGCGCCATTATCAGGCCATAGCGGAGCCTCCGCGCAAGAAGACTGGCCTTACACCCGTGGACTCTGCCGCGTCCACGGATGAGCAAAAGAAGAAGGACGAGGACAAGAAAAAGAAGGACGAAGATGACAAGGATAAGAAGCCAGAGGTTGCTTTAGAGCCTGATGTCGAAGTTGAGCTAACCGAGGAGCAGAAGAAGGAACTGACGGAAAAGCTGGTTTGTGCCGTGCTTTATTGCGTCTTAGCTCCTTTCGACAACGAACAGAGCGACATGATGGCCCACCTCTCAAAGAACAAGAAGTTGGAAGAAGTACCGGTCTACAAGTAAGCATTTTTGATTCGAGCGCAATTGGAAAAAGTTATTTTATTTTTAATTTATAAGGGAAATTCTGCGGTTGTTCATGTCAAAAGAGCTGATCAACTTCGACACATTTAATGCCGACTTTGGGCTCGTGCTGGCTGAAAATGAGATGTTCAAGGATAGCACAAAACACGGCAAGAAATGTATCACCGAGCTCAAGGATCGTCTAATAGAGCATGTAGGTTTTGTCGCTTTAAATTACTACTGATTGCTAATCAATATTTTATAGAACATTCGCATCATTGCCTTGTATTACTCCCGCTTGCATTTGGCGCGAATGAGTGAGCTTCTGAACCTGCCCACCAGCCGTTGCGAGGAGTATCTGTCTAAGCTGGCGAACACCGATACCATCCGCGTAAAGATCGACCGTCCCGCTGGCATCATTTACTTTACCCAAAAGAAAACCGCCTCCGACATCCTGAACAATTGGGCCACAGATGTGAACCAGCTGATGTCCCTGGTCAACAAGACCTGCCACTTGATTAACAAGGAAGAGTGCGTCTACTCCGTCATGTGCGCTGTCGAGGATTAGTCCTGTTCCATAGGTGCTTAGAATAGTGGTTCCCTCTAAAGCGCGCACTCACACGCAACTGTAATTGCACTAACCTCCCAACCATTTACATTTCGATTTTCTTGGTGAAGTTTGTATTCATTGACTGAACTACAATTATTAAATGAATTCCCCCTTTAAATGTTTATGCAATTCAATGCAGATTTTGCCAGTCATTGGTGATTTCTGGCGGCATTTCACAACACTTGAGGGTGTGCGCAGAGTGCTTCTTCTTATCTAGCGGAGTCAACATGGGCGTAGATCTAAACAAAATACATAAATGAAATTGGATTTAATATTTAATACCAATAAAAATATACAAGTTAATAAAAATTTATAAACTTCTTACCAAGGAAAAATATCTGTGCTGTATTTTTAGTATTTTCTATAACCCTTTTATAGAAATGGATGGCAATCATCCCCTCAAAACTTTCGACGGCGTCACTGGGAGCTTGTTATTTTTCTTCATTGTAGTATAGTAAAGCGCACATTTCGCAAATCAGTTTGAAATTTGTATTGTTTTTACTTAAGAATGCCAAAAGAAGATTGTAAATACTGGGACAAGTGCTATCAGCGAAATCCCACCCATTTGTCCAAATACAATCATCCAAAAAAGCAAGAAGAAAACGAAGAGGAAGGCAAAAAAGTGGCGCCAAAAAGAAGTGCATCTTCGCATCCAGGACTAAAGGAAGAGGAAAAACACACCGAGCGAGTGGACAAGGATAAGCCCGATACGAGTACCTTAAGTATGGATATGGTGAACGAGGAAATGGCCAAGGGCAGTTATGAAGCCGAAACCGAGGAGCTGCACAAAGAGGCCATGAGCAACATATCCGGGAAGAACTACATGGAGATCCTGGAGAAGCGGATCCGCCTGTCCGTGCAGAAGGAGTACGACAATCTGTGCGAGTCCAACGAGTTCATCCGACACAAGTTCCTTGTCGAAATGCCGCCAGACTTTTATGAATTTTGGAAGTTTGTGGGAAGCTTAAAAATTGATCCTGCGAAGCCCAAGGACGCTGGCTTGGAGCACCTAGACAAAGTATTTCAACTGCAGTTGGTGGGTCCCTTTGAGTTCCTAGCCGGCAAATTCCACGGCGCCCAACTAGGCGAACCGGGAGACTACCTGCGCCACTGGCGTTTCTACTACGATCCACCAGAGTTTCAGACTATCTTCGTGCGCCGAGGCACGGGGATTCACTACGGTTACTGGCGTGATGTACCGCAGGACAAGGAAAATCTCTTAATAGCCCGCAACGACTCTGCAAAAGGCTGCGAGTTCCAATTGGTGGCTGGAAATGCCTTTGATGCATTCCTCTACTACCTGGAGCACGATTTTGTGGCCACCCCGTTCTCAGCTGGGCAGTTGGCGGGGATCAAAAAGGCGGTGCCGAAATACTTGAGTGATAATTCTCTGGAACTAGCCCAGCTGGACCGACTGCAGCGGGAGCGCAACAAGCGGGTTGTGGCCAAGACATTCCACCGAGCCGGCATTGTTGTGCCCTTTGACCGGAAGACCCAACTAGGCTACCGGCCGCTGGCCGTCAGCGATTCCGAGCTCAAGAAGATGCTGGCCATGCTGGAGCGGAAGGACGTCGATAATGGAGCCGCCAAGCAGGCGGTTCTGGAGAAGCTGCAGCCGGTGGCCAACGCAGCCAACATAGCAGTTGATGAGTCAGACTTTGGCAGCGCCCTGGAACTAGGCATCGATATGTTCTGCAGTGGTCACAAGGAGCTGCACATGCTTGCCTCATCGTTGCTGGTACCCGCCTATTCAATGCTTTCCCGTCCACAGTTCATAGCCATTGCCAAGGCGCACATGGAGCAACGTAGTCGGGAGGTGAACCTCAGTATTTTTGAAGTACTTAAGTAGTTCGTTTTTTATTCCGCAACCGCATCAATTTTACAAGCATTAAAACTAGGAAAAACACAGCCAAACGTAGTTTACATGTACAGATAGGAGTTCTCCTTGCGCGGAGGGATGTAGTTTGAGCTGCAGGCCACGCCCGCGCTTTGAAGTACCTTAATCACTGGCTGGGCAGCTGTGGCGTCGAGGGGCAGCTTGTCGGTGTAGATAACGAAGGAGGTAACTGGCAATTCCACCTGATCCCGCCAACTGGCAACTGTATAAAAAGGTGAATGAAAAGGTGAGATGATTTCTTCAAGACCACTTACCGCCTGCTGCAACTCCAGCAATAAAGTTCGGAGCCTCAAGTTCAGTGATATCCTTCTGGTTGGCGCCTATGCCGCGGACAACGGCAACGTGATCCCGGTAGAGCTGGATATCCTCGCTCTTGAATTCGACCTTTGGCTTAAGCGTGAGTGTGATCACTTTCTTGGCCACCTTGACGTACGGCAGTAGGAGCTCCGCAACCTCGCCGCTACTGGTTAGGTCCTCATTGATTATGGCCAGCAACAGTTTAGACGAATGACTCCAGTGCAGGGACGAGTTCTTGGCAGGAATGGCGCATAGGCGTTTTGAATCCTTTGCCAGCAGATAGGTGGCGAAGTCAGTGACGTTTACGCCCTCAATGACCACCAGGATCTCACTCTCCACAGGGGCAGCTTCTCCCGTGGACTCATCATCGAACTTCAGCTGCAGCCTGCAAATCCAAGATATTAGTACTGCCTAAATATGTTTAGATCACGCACTTCTCCACAGGCTTCAGGTTCTCCAGTTCATCCTCTTCGCAGTCGTCCCAGAAGGCACGCGACGAGGGTATATTTAGTTCTCCAAATCCTGGGCAGCTCATCGTGTCTTTTTCGAAATAATAAATGTGTGAAGCTTAATTCAGATCACTATGTTTTTTTTCAAGTCATCAGTGTGACCATGTGCTGAACGCCAAAATAAACGTTTCTATATTTGCAGTTACACTTAAAGCATTTATAGCACTTTTTCTGAGCTGAACTCAAAGATTTCAATATAAGCAATATATATTCCAAAATCATGTGTTGAAAATACCGTTTGAGTTCTTAAAAATTGATGGAAGTTACGACCGCTGTGTAGGGTGAAATTTAACTACAATCGTTGGAGCTAGTGAAATATGAATGCATTTAATATTATTGGCCATTCAAATTTGTTCATTTGAAGTTGAAATGAAAAAGTATGCCCGCAAACGTTTCTTAAAATACCAGATCAGTGTCGTAGCAGAAGCAGCGCTCCAGCACGGTCATACTGAATACAAAAAATGCAAGATGCAGGTTCATATTCGAATTGGAAAACCACTTTGATCGCAAATTAGAGACTGATTTCGAGCCGCACGTGGCTAAAAACATTTTGAACGGCAGCGCGCTAGGATAGGTCTCAAATTTGGTGATTAGCAGTGGGAGCAACCGCGCAACCCAGCGCCATGAGGAAGCGAAGCTCGCGTTGTAACTCTGACACTTTCAAGGAGGAGCAGATGGACCACAACGGTGACGACATCAGCCTGCTGCAGCGCCCGCTACGCACCGCCCACACGGGATTCGAGGAGGCCCGTCGGGCCTATGAGGATGGCACCAGCGAGGTGAGTCTCATCTGAGTGGAGTACGTGACTCAACTGTAGCCCGCAATGGCGGAGGCTCCTGCTCCTCAATTTTGTCAATCCTCGGATAAGAATCCGCTATTCCAACAGGTGCGCCAGCTGCTTAGCCAGGAGTGCAGCCTGATCTACGAGTGCAAGGTGTGCCGCAACATGTTTCGCAGCCTGGCCAATTTTATCAGCCACAAACGCGTCTTTTGCTGCGTCAGCGCCCGTTCCGCGAATGGCAGTGGATACACAGTGAGTGGGCAGTAAAGACAACCTCATTACAAAGTCCCTAGTACCATAGGATGTCAACTAATCGCTGTTAATTCTCCCGCAGGATCAGAATTCCACTATGATCATACAAACGGGTGGTGGTCCGTCGCCGCAGGACATAGAACATATGCTCCGCAGCAGAAGCACGGGATGCTCCCCTGTTCCGCGCGAGGTGCGTCCTTTACGAGGAGGAGGTGGCAGCATAAGGGACCTGAGTGGTGTTATTGAGCGTCTGCGGCGGGAAAAGGCTCCATCACAGGCCAATCGAAGCTCCTCCACTGTTTTGCAGCTGGAGTCTGTGCCGAACTCAAGCCAGGCCGTTTATCAGACCATCAAAGTGGACCAGGACGACAGCATAAGGACAGAACTGGACGAGGTGCATCGCATGCTGAATCCATCTGGAACCGTTGTGGGGCCCGACGGAAAGGCCTTGGCGACCGTTAAGATAGAAAACAATGGAGGTAGTGACTCCGGTGAAACCGGCGAGCAATCCATCAGCGATGAAACGGAGACGAGTATTTTCTGCGAGATCTGTATGACTACTTAACCGAATAGGCCTTGAAGTCAATTAGTGACTGGTGTGTTTTCTAATCTCGTTTACAGGCAATCTGACTTTTCAGACGCACAAAACACTTGAGGTGCACATTCAGAAGCATCACTCATCATCGGCGTTTGTGTTTCAGTGCCCAGCCTGTTCGCTGACCTTTCTTCAGGCCGCTGCTGTTATTCGTCATTTATCAAAGGATCACAAGTAAGTTGGACTCAAACTACACCAACCAGGAAATATAAATAAATATGTGTATATACATACTATTATCCATGTGATACTATTCTTCTACTTCAAGAGGTTATTAAATTTCTTCGCAGGATCCATTTATAACTGGTTATTGCTTTCGGTTAGGCGACCCATCCAATTCTTAACTTTAGTCATTTGTAAAAAATCAAATTACTCCCAACAAAACAAGGTACAAACATAGCTCTCCAATTTCAGTTTTTTTAAGCCCTTGTATCCTTTGAATCGAATTATGAATAAATCATAATTATTCAATGAATTATTGACATAAATGAGAGAATTATAATAGATAGGTTTTTTATAGGGATAGTAGTTTTTGTAAAAAAAAAAAATGTTTTTATTTGTGAACTAATATTTAATATTGGTCTTCTTAAAATCAACTTTACAGGAAACCAACTCGGCGCATTCGAATGATGCGGAACACTATCCTTAAGCGACGCATTCAGCAAGGAGATGTTCAGCCGAAGGGCCCCTGCCGGGAGTTGAAGCGCCTACAGCTCTCCGACGACGTGGTGGGCTATGTCCCTGAGCCATTAGATGCCAGCGGTGAGCATCGTAAGATCATGTCTCTGTGTATCTATTGCGAAAAATCATTTGAGCGTCGCGCTGCGTTGTCAACACACCTGCTCAATTGTCGGGCGAAGCAGGAGGCGCTGGCCAAGCCGGCTCCTTCCGTCAAAAAACTGAAAACAAAGAGCAATGATTCCAATCTGGATGCAGCTGATGACGAACCAACTACACCCATACATCTGTTGAAAAGTGAAACGATCAAAACCGAGGAAATTACTCTAAATGAGATGTTCGCTGATCTACCAGAGCCGAACGACTCATTTGCACCTGGTCTGCACACAGTCTCATTGGACCAGCTTAATTTAGGCAATGTAAGTGACTCTGCTAGTGATGAGGCCTCAAACACCGACGACGACCACGAGCTTGCACCAGGGGCGGGACCTGAATCCAGTGCCGATGTGGACGATATCAAGGGTAAGGCCAAAAAGAAGCGTAACGTTCCAGTTGAGAAGCAGCTGCGATGTCGCTGTAAGATCTGCCACAAGCAGTTCAATGCCCTCGGAAATCTACGTCGTCACATATCCATGTTCCATTACCGCGCACGCCGTTTCGGCTGTAATCTTTGCGAGTATCGCGCATTTCGGCGCTACGATATTGTAAATCATTTGGGATTTACTCATAAGATAGAAGGAGATCGAGACCAGCTAACGGAGCAATATGTGTCCACCCACGAGTGCGAGTACTCCCGAGACGATGTTGACGGAGATATAATTTTGCTGGATAAGGAGGATGAGCTTACAGTGATGGAGAAGGATGCTAAACCCCCTATTAAAACCTATGAAAGGCGCTTGAAGCGTCTTAAAACCATAACAGATTCTGTAGGTGAAGTGCAACCCAAATCACCAACAATCGCGATCAAAGAAGAACCTGGCCAGGAGCCATTGGAAAGCACTCCCACGCCCAGCAAGAAGCGCCGCAAGTCTCGGACCCAAATCTCACCCGAATCTGGAGAACATCCCCAGGATAAGCGTCCCATTCGTAAGCGCGTTAAGGCGGTCAACAAGGACTTTGTCTACGATTTGGTCAGTTTCAAACCCGATGGATCAGGCCCGCAACCTCCTGGTGCGCCGGCTGTAGAATCCATGCGGTCCAAACTGCGTCGTCCGGCGACGGTAAGCAACGATGAAAGTAAGCACAAACAGTGCGAAGCCTACATTACGGAAGAGAAAAAGCCTCTTGTGTTGGGCATCACACGACGCATCATGCTGGAACTCGTGAGCCAGGGTCTGGCGGTGTCTGCTACTTTACCAGAATTGCCCTCAGAGCGACCGCAGATACGACCTCGTCTTGTCTCGCACTCACGCAGCGAAAGTGGATCCCAGCAAAAGCAAAATTTTGTAGAAACTACAGTGGATCCTGCTCCGGAAACCGAGAGTTTCATCGAGAAGATTGCGAAGCGAACAGCAGCTGCTGGCAAGGATAACGCTGTCATCAGCAACCTGTGGAACAAGGTCAACACTGCGATTGCCCAGCAGGAGAAGCAGCAGAAGAAGGAACAGGAGCCGACTCATGAGGCTCAGCCAGAGGAAAAGTCGGAAACAGAAAAATCAAAGAGCCCTCTCCCAACGCCGCCCAGCATATGCGAAGCCATCGTGCCCGAAACTCTGGCGACCACCGGTATGGATTGTCTGCGTGGAAAGGGCAGTCAAGCGGGAGCTTCGACAGTGTTTCCGGCCTTGCCCAAGCCGCCATCCGTTTTGCAGGCGGCTGCCAATGGGACCATACAGTTCACTCTAGACAGTCTCCTGCGAGCCGCTCTGCAGAACTAAACGGAACCGGAAATGGAAACCACCGCCACCAACATCGTTGCTACTTTCGTTGTCTTTCCTACTGGATTTTTCCTCAAACTTTCAACTGGTCCTTTCCCATCAACCGTTTTGAATGTAATTCACTAGTGTCCTTATTGTAAAACCAACTAAATAAGAAAGAGAATCCCTTGATGATAAATACGCTTTGAGTATTACGCGGTAAAAACAACCAAAACAAATTGAAAATCGTAGCATAATTTTGGGCTATTAGCAAATGTTTGTTGTTTGTGTGAAAAAGTACAGATTTTTTAAATGTTATAGTTAATACTGTAAACGTACCTAATTTTATATTCCCGCATTAAGTAAGTCACGCGAGTGTATACGGTTGTTGTCAGTGTGTGCATCAGATTGCCCTGCTAGGACTTCAATCAGATTGTATGTTTCATTTAATTCGATCCTATCCTGGTTTAGCTATACTAAGGTAGGCCGATTGAAACAGTTTGTATACCTTTTTTATATAAAATACTTTTAATCTTGTGTAGTGACGGCAGATTTTATATTGGTTGCTTATCAAACTTAAATGTATAATATATATTTATTTGTTGTAGTTTTATTTGTAATCCTAAGCTTACGTTCGACTTTTCGCACTTGTAGGAGAGGCAAAAGCATACCAAAGAATTACTCTTTGTCGACTAAATCGGTACGCTGTAATTCGAATTAGGATGATGGAGGAGCTATGGAAATTAAGTTTGTTGACGTTTCATCTTGCCATCTATCATACATCCATCGCCCCACCATCGCCTAATTAGCATTATTATATTCAGGAACATCACAGCTGCGGAGTCGAGAACACGACGACTTCCCCCACTATGGTGCATAAATTTGTTACTCAAAATGTTAATTGGCAACTAGCCGAAAGTCAGGAGCAAGTTGAACAAGGCAGTCTGCTGTACACACACAGCCCAGATACATGTTTTTATATATTTTATACATAAGACACAGAACAGACATAAGAAGTAGAAAATCACTCGCAGACATTTGGCAGATTCCTGAACTGCACGAGTGGTTCAATGTATTTATATATCATTGTAATGTACAACGTAGAGCCTTAAATCAAATCACCAAATGATAATAAATCCTACGATAATCACTAACAAAAATGCTCGGAATGTGTACCGATACCAGATACCTGATACCAGGAAGGGCAACAACAAGTGTCCAATTTCCGACGCCCGCTCCAGCTGGATGGAGCACCCGTGAAATAGAACAGGTCACCAGGCAGCTGTGTACCCACGGATGCTGTTGCTCCTGCCGCCGTTACTGCGGACGCCCGACAATGGAAATTGTGTCACGGCCAGGAGTATGGGCGTGAACATACGGATTTGGGCAGGGTTAGGACGTGGTTCGGCTTTGGCTTGGGCTGGGCTGGGCTGGTGGAAAACCGAAACTGGGACACACTTTAAGGCTAAGCGTGTGCGTATCTGTGTCCGTGTCGGAAAATAGAGAGGCATGGAGCGTGAGAGAGCGAGCTGGCGAGGAGCGACTGTTTGTAATTGGAAACCGAAAGTGAAAACGCCCAGGCCTTGAAATTCTCGACAGGAGCCGCACAGATAAAAACTCGAAATTTATTTAGCAGGGGTGGTAGTGCTTCAGGCCAAATGCAGGCAAATTCAATTTTTTAATTCTTATTTATTTTTTTGCGAAGGTAAACAAGCTTCATTGGAATAAATAATCAAAAGCCTTTTAATGGAAAAATGGATTTAGTTGATTTTCACCTATGTTTTACAATGTCAAAAATACAAAAAATTTCATGCGGACTTGAAATATTTGAATTATATTAAATCCAAGTACTGTGTCATGTGGTCCGGACAAAACTACATCCTTTGATTTTCATTTAAAAGATCGAAAGACTTGGTTCTGGAAAAGTTGAGTTTCGGTAATAATAATAGAACATCAGGTAAATCTCATCTGGTAAAAACGTTAGGCAAAATATGAAACCCATTTAAGAACGCCACTAGCAAAGACCTTCTCTTTGAACAGAGCTGCGGGCATTGAAGCGAATGCGAAGGCAATGCAAAATACTTATCAAACCTTCTACCTATACCAAGCCCACTTTGCCTGGGCAAATTTGTGCTGCATAAACTGATTAAGTGATTTCAGGTTCAGACCCGGCCACCTCCAAGCCCATCCACGTCGAACGCAGTCCGGAGATCGTCAACAAAGCGCTGGGAACAGGCAGCTGGCATTGAAGGGCGACAAAGGCATGTACCACAACTTATACACACATGGCGTATGGTATGGCACATAGTATACCCACATACCACGGAGAAATTGCGGGCAGGTGCCAGTTCCTTGCAATCAGATCCCTTCTCAGCAAATGGAGGTACTGACTCAGAAAAAAGCCCTCCACAAACCGGGAGTCTTGCTGCTGCGTAGGAAACCAGGACGGCAAAAAACGAGAAAGTCTTCATTGCTCTTAAGGAGGCTGTGCCTCATGGCCTATAAATGCGGTTAACTCGCTCGCAAACAACAGTTGCCATTTATTGGGGAGCATGGAATAATTTTTTCCAGGACGATTTGCAGCCGACGGACTCATGTCGTGCTATTGAATATGTAATTGAGACAATAGAAATTTAAACACCTCACGAAGCATTGCATCTCTAACGCTACAATCCCTCGTTGTTAAATGACATTTAAGGTCCTTTCATATATTTTTAATGGGCATCCGTTAGCATAGTCCTTTGGGCTTAACACAGTTTGCGAGTGCAAATAATTGAATGTGAACATTCTGACCATTTATCAACTTGGTTCAAAATGGGGTCCCGAAAATTATCACAAATTTGTTCTGAAGGACGGATACTTTTGCTGGATCGTATACCTATTTAAATGTTGTTAACGGGCTAATGGGCATGCGTTAGTCAAGACGCTCGCCGACAAAGGTTGCTCATATTTTAAGTCAGTTTTGTTCTTAAGAGAGATGAATAACTATTTATGTGCTTGATTGGGCAACTAAACTTTGCTAACCAAAATGGGGAACGAACATATCTAGTCTACATGAGAAAACAGTCGCACCAGCATGTGTTATATGGTTTGCATCACCATATCCCATACATCGCTCATTCGCCATGGGGTACGAGACACTTTGGATCCCCGTTGAGCGCTACTTAAAATCAAATTAAGATAATGAAATCGCCGTCGTGCAGCCTGAATATATTTCAATTTGGGTCACACAGTATCTTGCGGGAGCTTTCCCGCCAACGCTGCCTCTACCAACGAAGCCCAAGGGATTGGGTGGGGAATTGGCCACTGCCCGACAGCTCCACTCCCGCCAGAATTCCGCTTTTCTCGCGGCGGCAGCTGCGTCCTATACAAATTTTGGAGCTCAGAAGTGTTCAAACTGTACTAAGTACTGTTTATTTACTCGCCGCCCAATTGAATAGTGGCAGAGCGCATTATTACCGATTATCGCCGGGCGGAACAGATGCTGCCACCCCACCTGGAGTCGCAGTGGGTTGCCAAATAAACATGGACAGCGATGACAGGGAAATGGGTGTTACTGGGTAACCTGCTGGGTAACCTACTAACACGGACGCACCATCAGAAAAGGGAGAGCGCGAGCAAAAAGGTATGAAAAGAGCTGAGGAGAAAGTTGGGAAGATGGGTGAAAGGAGCCGCGCTGCCTGTCCTCTGTCATCTGTTGGTGGGTTCGCTGCTGCCGTTGCCGTTGCCGTAGGACGTTGAAGGACACCACCAGCAGCAGCCGCGTCGGGAGCATCGCCGCCTGCGTCTGGCGCTCCAGTGTTGTCCTAGTCCTAGCCGAACCAAGCCGAACCAAACCGAACCGAACCGAACGGAGGAGGAGGAGTTCGCATGTATGTTGCCATAGCTCGTATTCTCGATGCTCAAATTCCAAGCTCGCCAGTCGAGTTTCGGCCGTCTAACCCAGCAGAGGTGTGCAGCGGACAGCAGTTGAACCACCGCAACCTACAGCACCATCATCAGCAGCAGCCAGAATAGCTGTGCCACAAGAGAACAGGAGCCCTGCCCTTTGACACGCAGCATCCACTACAACAACTGCCAACGCAATGCCATGCTGTACTGACAACTGACCCAGCTGCAACTGATTAACTGGCCGACAGACGGCACAGTATCGCTATTCATAAGGCGTCCATGTTCGTGGTCCGTTTGCTGGACGCGGATGCGGGGAGCAGATTCCGCTGCGGAACAGCATCAGCGCGAAAGTAGGCAACGAAAAACGGAAAATCTGAAAATCGGAAATCTAATTAGCGACGTCAGTGTCAGGACTGCAAATCCATTAATCCAGCCATCACATCAACAACTTTTCGACAAACAGTCCTTGCTGAAGTCCTGGCAAAAAAAGACCACGAGAGTCGGGAAAATTTAACGCAGAAAAAAGGGAAAGCACTTTCCCTTCGCTGTGCCTGTGTGTAGGTGTTGGTGTGTAGGTGTGTCGGTGTTCCGCTGTGCTGTGGTATTAGTGTGCCGCTGTGCGTGAGAGTGTGTGTGTGTGTGTGTGTGCGAGTGCCTGATAACGCGAGCCTGCTGCTGACATCACTTTCACTGGGAAAGCGAACGCGAGGAGCCAGCCTGCAGCCCGGGAATCTGCCAATCGAGCCGCACGGCAACAAAATCAATTAAACTACCAACACTGCAGGACAACCGCCAGAACAACAAAGCTGCCAAGAGCCAATTATCGAGCAAAAGCGCACGGAAACCGAACGAAGGACGAGCCCATCGCAAGCAAGATGTTCTCCATGTGCACCAAAGTGAAATCGCGGAGTGCGGATCCGGACACCCCATTCACGCAGCAGTCGCAGTCGCAGTCGCAGTCGCAGCAGATGCAGCAGCTGCACCTGCAGCAGCCCCAGGCGATGGGTAAGTGGGGAAGGCAGGAAGGGAGGAAGGCCGGAAGAGAAAGTGAAACCGAACCAGGACTGAAACCCAAACCGAAAGGCAGTCGGTGTGCCCTCATTTAGGGGAAAACCCTTGAACTCGTTTTTGCTGCCCCACCCCGAAAGTAGCACCCCTCTCCGCCCTTCTTGGCCCCTCCCAGCTGCTTATTTTTCTCAATGAATTCGCACACAGGCGCAGCTGCGCGTCTGTCTGATACTTTCTCCTGCACAGCCCCCGTTCCCCGTTCCCCAGTCCCTGCATCCTGCGTCCTTTCAGGCCACATCCCACCCACTCCTACGCTTAACTTATCAAGCGGAATCCAGTATGCGGTTGCAATACTGATGCTGCAATTGTTGACAGTGCCACGCCCATTACCCAGCGTGTGTGCGTGTGGCTGTGTGTGCTCTGCATTAAATCATTAAGTAGAGACAACAGAGCCCACATCGCATACGTACTATATGGGTGTGTATGTGCCATGGAGCACTCTGGAAACGAGTCGGGGTCCAGGATGCCAGGCTGATGCAGTTCGTCGCATGCATAAGACATGCGGTTGCACTCGAAACACAACTGAAACGTTTATTCAGCTTTGATTTTCCGAAGGTTCTACCTATACTAGTTATATAAATTCTCTCAAATCTAGTTATATATCTTTTTCCAAGCAGAGACTTGGACATTTTATTTTTGTGGTAAGGAGTTCACTTAAACCTAGGTCCTACCTTAATAACTCTGAAAATATTCATAGACAAATGCATTTGCCATATAAATACTGTTATTCCTCTATGGAATTTTTCCGAGTGTGCGTGTTACTTTAGTGTACTCGTATATCCCAGCCCTTATTCAGTTTTATATCTAGACAGGCCAGCAATTATGTCTGTACACGTTTGTCGCTGTCCTCGCCTGCAGATTCGTCTTCGGCCTACTGCGAGCGGGAATCCGAGAGTGGAGTGGGCCAGGACTCGTTGGCAATTCTAGCTGATTTGTCATGTGGATGTGGATGTGGCTGCAAGGATGCCAGCATGCAGAATACCCACATGCAAGTACGCCTGTGTGTGCGCGTGGGCATGGCTACATGCGGTTGTGTGCGTGCACTGAAGTGGCGCACATGATGTCCGCTGCCTTGCCTTCTTATACAAGCAAGGCAGTGTCCTTCGGCGAGCTCGTTCTCTCACCAACCCCGATGCAATATGCCATAGTCCCTTGTCCCTTGTCCCTGGCAGCCCCAGTTGCGAGCTCATCCTTTCATCATCTCCGTCGACACTTGGACTGCGTCTATCGTAGTCGTCTGCAATTCGCTTGCTTCTGGTACACTTGCAGCATTTTATTGTGACCAGGATTGACTGTCTAAAAGTAAATGAAGAATGTCAAACGGGTTTCAACTGTGCGCCTAAGTTACATATTTGGTTTGTTCACCCCGTTACTCGTAGAGTAAAACATCAACGTGATGCAGATATCCTATGTTTTCCTAGTCGGATAGCTGAGGAACTCAACTATGCCGTTCCCTCTTCTTTTTTCATAGCCCAAGCTAATTATTAAATAGCATAATATAAATATAAGCTGCACAATCCATTTCTTAATGTGTATGAAAATGGCATGGGTCGCAGGGAAAAGATGGGCAGATGCAGACCATTTTGGAGGCAAGCGGCGGTTTCTAGCACGCCGAGCCTAGAGCGTTTTTCAAATGCTGGGCGGGCCCATTGCATCCCATTCCCAGCCGAACCAAGTTGTCTCCAGCCACTCTGGTCGTAATCAGTTTGCTGCAAAGGCAACATTTCGAGTGGTCGGGTGCGGAAAAAATGCCAGAGAGGTCCTTCAATTCCGAAATTACAAGAATATCACCCGGGGCACATTCAATCGCCTATCGGATTCTGGGAACAACGATGCTAATGGCTTCGTTCAATACTGGGAATTTAAGAGCTTTTGCACTTATTGCTATGAAATCATGAACAATTATTTTGCGTATTGGGTTAATTAAATATATCCTATATACATCTGCTGATATTTTTAACAAGCGTTTTATATCCGTTACTCGCAGAGCAAATGTGTATACTAGATTCGTTGAAAAGTGTATATTAATATATCCCTGATCAGTTGGTGGTATGAAGGCCTTATTCTCAGGAACTATTAATACAAGAAAGTTGAGATTAGGCATTCTAGAAACATAGACGCCACGCCAACACGCCCACACTTTTGAAAAATATTTTGATTTTGCTCTTGTTATTAGTCATGCCATTTTCTACCGAAATACCGAAAATATTTTGAGAACTCCCTTTGCCCACCAACAATTTTGAAAATTTTTTTGATTTATTTTCGTTTTATTATTGTTTTTTTCCCAATTTCTATCGATATGCCACAGAAATGTTGGAGCTTCTCGTTTGCACTTTTACTAGCTGATAGTCAACTGCAACTTGTTTTATATTACAATCCGCTCGCAATACATTGTAATATGTACTGTCCAAAAATCGCTTAAAATTTGTTTGTATCTTACCTAACATAACTTGCTTGGGATTTTAGCACTAATATGGAATTTTGTACTTGTTTTAAAGAATCCTTTTTCCAAAACTATTGGAAACTATTCCAAAACTATCGCCTTACATTGGGCGACAAATTCAAACGATAGATATATAGATAGTTTAAGACCACTTTGCCGATTATTACTCATACGTACTGTTTAACCAAAAGTTTTAACAATTGGTGACATAACATTAGGTAATAACTTTTGTATCTTTTTTGGGATATCTTTTGTAATCTGCTTGCACTTTGATTATGAAATATATTTATTCAGCTCAACGAGGAGCAATTCTACAAGTCTAAATTAAATTTAAACAAAACACTATGAACTCGTCACTGACGGCAAAGGTGTGAAATGGCTTCGGATCGGTTGCCCATCTGTATTGAAATAATTAATTCAGTCCACCGCAAGCGTCGTGTTTGCCACTACCCCAAATCCTGCAGGAGTCCACTCCTCTCCTCCGCCTCCCAAATCTCCGCCCACTCCTCCGCCTGCTGCTCCTGAACCCCACTTTCGACTCTCGATACTTGACCAAATAAATGGTATGCCAGAGGTAATGAATTTGAAATGAGAGACCACGCCAACAGGGCAGAGGAACTGCAGCAGGAGCGGAGGCTGGCTGATTGAGTTGCTGGCGATGCAGATCCGGGGGAATTGCTAAACGAAATTCCGTGTTTCGTTTTTCGCCATTCGTTATCCGGTGCAGCCAGTCGCACCTGGACTGGCCTACACCTGAAACTTGCAGCTCCGGATACGGTGCGTGGGCGCTGGGTCCTCGGCTGTCGGATTTCAAATGGCGACGAAAAGGGAAGAAGTCCGTGAATGGGAAATGGGCTCCAGCTGCAGACCTTGATTCCCGTTCAATTAGTGGCATCGTGTGACTTGCCTCTGGGTACAGAAAATTGGGTTATGGGCACTGGCCAGTGAATGCGGGCTAGTTGGGATTCGCTGGCGGATTCGCTGGACTTTCCCCACTTGGCACTCACTCCACAAATCCTTTCTTCTTTTCTTTTCGCAGGAACTGGCGGAAAACAAATCAAGGGAGGCTATCTACTGCGCTACAAAAGTGAGTATCCCCTACTTCAGTAGAGCTAAAACCTGGTAAACATAATGACACAATCCACAGATATTTCGATCAAACTATTAGATAGCTTTCGATATCTGAACAAGCGATGTAACACCTATTAGCGGAATTAGGACCTTGTATACTTTCAAGAAATATTTCAAAAAATTACATATTAAGTTGGAGAAAATCTTAAATTCCTAGTGAATTTTATAATCGCCCGTTTGAGGCGGAATTCACCTGCGGCAAGGATAGTAGTTGTGGCTATTGCAGGACCTTGACAGGACGATTCAGACCCTTTCTCTAGCTGTCAGCACGGTAGGCTCGAGTCGCCCAGGGACGACCAGAACCAGAACCCTTGGAAGAGGGGACAATCTGTCCAATCAGCACAACAGCAGCAATCCTCGCAACACAGACTCAACAGGATGACGCAGCATCCGTGGAGCATCGTTAGATGGATGCGGTTCCTTGCATGGGGTATGGGGTGTAATCATTTCGGGGTCACATTCAAGTGTAATTACTCATGATTTGGCAGCGCAATGGATGTGTCATTGTCATGCTTGCTGTGCCGGATTGAGAATCATGGCTAAATTTGTTGAGTCCTTGGGGCAAATTAATGGAGAACAATATAAAACACAGGAATGGCAGCTAAGCTGCAAAAGCGTACACTTGGATACGCCTTGACTTAGAATAATTACTTTAAAAATCAATTAGTATGAAATGCAGAATAACTTCACATATACAATTTGAAACTGCGAAGCTTGTTTCCCAACCTGAATTCGTGACCTTCTGCCCTTACAGAGCAGATGTTCTGGAACCGCTGGGCGGAGGAATGGGTGGTGCTGTACGATGACTCGACCATGGCCTGGTTCACGGAGCCGGGACGCTCCTCTCCGACGGGCAAGATCCTGGTGAAGGAGGCGCCCGAGATGCTGGCCATCGCCCACTGGACCGGCCAGATACCTCGTCGTCCGCCGCTGCCGGCGGGAGTGAATGTGTCCCAGTTGATTGCCCTCGGATCGCAGCGCAAGCGGTCGAAGGTCTACTGGATGCTGGCCAAGTCGGAGCAGGAGGTGAGCGACTGGATCGATGCGATTACCAAGACCCTGCCGCCGCCACCGCAAATCGAGCTGGTGGTGGACAAGCCGCACCTGATGAACGTGCTTCGCCGTCCGCTGGTGCGCATTAGACGTGAGTAAATCCCCCTAAACAACTTTAATCCATCCGGATACTCGTTTCGCCTAAGTAGCCTCCACTGGTGGTGTCGTTCACCTGAGATAAATATTGACCACTTTTTAGGGCTGAGAATTGGAAAATAAATAAGTACACTGTGCATACCAAAGAAGTAATAGTTTAAACAAGACTATAGAAGCTTAAGTGAACTTTGTCACTCATGTTAGTATCTTAATGTTAGTATAATAATTAAATGTTTTGGTTATGGATTTATAGTATGATTATGGTTACGTTACTCACGGAGATTCCGTCTTTTGATTTCTAACTTCTCTAAATATATACAATTTTACAATTCTACACTAAGTTAATACACTTCAATCGTAGAGTAAAAGCAAAACGAATAATTATTCTAGTGTCTTTGGTAAAAGGCTGTACTAGATTCGTTGAAAAGTATGTAACAGGCAGAAGGAAGTGTTTCCGACCATATAAAGTATATATTATTGATCAGGATCAATAGACGATTCGATCTGGTCATGTCCGTCTGTCCGTCCGTCTGTCCGTATGAACGGCTCGATCTCAGGAACTATAAAAGCTAGAAACTTGAAATTAGGCATGCAGGTTCCAGAGACATAGACGCAGAGCAAGTTTTTTTCCAAATGTTGCCACATCCACTCTAACGCACAAAAGCCGCCCAAAACTGATTAACGGGTATCTGATAGTCGGGGCATATCGTCGACTATATCGTTAGTATGTAGTCTGAATCGAGTAACATTTAGTTTCAAAATTAAACGCAAATTTAATAGAAACATGAGCAAAGCCTTTAGTTAATGAAGAAACTTTATACACACTATTTAAATTATGCATACTTATATGAAGTATAGAAAGACTAATATTCTTGATTAAATTTCCAATTTTTCTATGCAGCGGCCACCCAGTCGGAGGTGAAGCAGCGCAAGGCGGCGTCCCACGGTGCCAGTGGCAGCAAACATCACCGCTGCTCCTCGGCGATTTCCACGATGGTGTACCGGCAGAGCCAGGATCCGCTGGTGAAGAGCGACGCGGCGGTGGCCATTCTCAGCAAGAAACCGGACTCAAAGGCCTCGCTGGCTTGCGCCCTGCCCTGGGGCCACGGATGGGGCTGGGCCACGCTGCCCAACGGGGTTTGGAGCGGCGGACTCACCTGGTCGCAGTGCGAGGACACCTTCACACTGCACGCCCTGCCCACTACCCACTGCACCAACCTGATCGACACCTCCTGCAGCGGGGCAGTGTACCACACGGACATCGGAGGCTTCGACTTTCACTCCTCGGGCGTCGATGACATCGGGGGCGAGGACTTCGACTATGCCATGGACTGCGGGGATTTCATATTCTAAGCTTCACCCAACCCCCAACCGGCGGGCAGGAGCCATTCGTCCTTGCCCGCCCAATTTGTCTTCGATTGGAAGAAGCTCAGCACCTGGTAGTAGCTTGGGTAGTATTTAATGTTTAACCGTGCTTTCGTTGCCCTCAGAGTGTTAGGTGTTGCTCAATGTAGGGGAATCGCGCGATGCGTATACGCCCCATTGTCCTTGTTCCAGTCGGGCCAACTATGCCGCTGTACCCTAAACATTGTGCATTGTCCTAATTGCATTAGGCAGTTACGCTGCAAGTACTTGCACAACTATCAATCCCCGCGATTATTCCCCTTTTTCCCAAGTGTGCTGAAATATATAAAGTTTGGCATATGTAGGTGTGTCCACAGCTGTGGCCAGAGAACTATCTGTGACTCCACCATTTCCTGATGGATGCTGGGTTTCATTAAATTCCAAGAAGTGAGAGTCAAGATTCATGAAATTCTAATAAATTTTATGAAGTTCTTAAAACAATTTAAAGCAATTCCTAAAACGACTGAATTGAGTCGAAATGTATTTACAAATGAAATATCTTACAAATGTCACTACAGTACTGGCCGCCGCTGTGGTTTCCCCTCGAGCTGTGGCTGATACACGTGTGTGCGTGTATTTACCATATACCTCGTGTGTGTTAAGCCGCACAGTCGCCAACTCCCGACCCACATATGCCAACTACCACCCACCGCCCACCGCCCACTGGCCACAGCACCCCTTTCAGCCAGCCACCCAACCGCAATCAGCCATCGCAGTTGCAGTTGCAACCACAGGCATTTGAAATGCGAAAATATTTTTGCATCGCGCATATAAGTAGGCTACGACATATTTTCGCAAACGAGGGGCGAAGAAATTACAATAAATAATGCAGACAGACAAGGGGACTACTAAATTAATAACGAGAAAACAACCGCAAGAGATTGAAATACTTTTGTGTATTTTGAGACTTTTGAAATTTATATTGATGCAATTTGTAATGAAAACACTTTTCAAATTGTTTTGCCATGATTTTCTAGAATTTTTGGAATCGATAGTATTAACCGCAAACCGAATCCGGAAAAAACCCACACCACGCGTTACCAGCAAAACCCATTTTTGTGTGCAAATTTTTGAAACATTTATACAGATACAGCGCGCGTAAAGTAAGTCGGTCATAAAATCGATTCAAATTGAATATAATTGTGTAAAAGACGAACACAAAAACAGAGGAGCGAGCCATTCCCCGCGGAATTTTGAAGTGGCGCATAGCAATTTTTATATAGCATGTTAAACAGAAATGACAGTAAACAGGAAAACCAGGTAAATAACAAGTAATTGACAAGGTAAAAACGAACTCTAGTCGTAAGACTCACACACCCGCAACACACCCACACAGCCTAGTGTAAGTGTTAGCGCCTAAGGCATCCGATTGTCAGATTGGTTTTTGAAACTAACTCACTCAGATCGACATACCCACCCGTACTGATGTAAAGTTTATAAAACAAATCAAGCGAAACACAGAGACAAGTTAGCAACCCAGGAAAAAGCACGGAGCAAAAGGCCAAAGACGTGCGAACAATTGTACGTGTATGTACGAGTAATTATGTTATTAGCGATTAAGAGCCCATTTAAGATCACGGACATTTGGGAGCAGAATCACCAGTTGTCACGCCCATCGATTCGGTTTTGAACTTGATTTTGAGGAACTTTCGACACGTCGTGTGCGAAAGGGAAACGCCGCTACGAACACCTTGAGAAAACTGTAATTGTAACTATGTTAGGGTATATAGAACTTAGGATAAGTCGGGCGCCCGTTAGAGCCACACATTAAAGATATATATGATAGATGTACGTACCGTAAGAATGTGCAGGTTTTCAAAATGTTGCATGCCGCAAATATGCATAGAGCTAGAGCATAGCGTCGCAAATATTATGTAAAATACGGGTAACAGGACACTCCAGTCCCTGCGCATCTGTTGCATGTCCTTGTGCGCGCGAGTATACTTATACACCACTATATATTTATGTACAACAATAAGCCAAGCCAAGCTACACGACTCGAAACCAAAGTTAAGCCGTAAACCGTAAACCGTAAACCTGGCCCACAGCCACAGCTATCATGCCCATCACCCGCTACAAATCCTCTATAGAGTCTACACATATGTAATGTATCTGCATGTATACAATACACAATACCTATAGCTATAGGCGGGAAAGGCGATCGGAGCATTAGAAGCGTACATATAGAACCCGCCACGTAACGTAATGATATGTAGACTAAAAGACTTAAGCAATTGTCGTTTAGACGTTAAATTAGAGCGCATTGAATGTTGGCTTATAGTTCTAGATACCGAGCGATGAGGGCGACGTGCGTTAGGATGCATATTACGGATATCCTCACCACAATGTTCTAGTCTGGAGCCTAAACTCGGAATTTGTTAGCGAGCGAGTTGGAAACGCGAAACCAAAACCATAACCAAACCAATGCAAGCCGAAACCAAAACCAAAAACAAATGAAAAAGTAAATGAAATCGAAAATAAACGTAAAGTAAATCAACCTTGGACAATCACGCATACGCATGTAGGCAAACTGGATTAAATAATGTATGTAAATTATTTAAGCCCTGGGTCGGCAGCACAACAAAAAAGGACCGAGGATGGCTTGTATGGCATAGTCTTAGCACGTCCAGCATGGAATCCTTGAGGGCTCCGTGAACTCAACTAGTATAGATACGCAAACCAAACAAATTCACATTCGATTGAGGACTAGAGCCAGGTCAAGCTTCAATTAAATGTCAATCCCCACGCTCTTCAGTTGTACCGAGAAGTATTTTTGTAAACTTTATTAGGAACACCGAAATCCAAAGCGAAACTATAGTAATAACAAACATGGATGTTTTAAAACGCAAAACCAAAGTATACTTTAGAGCCAATTTTTGTAGCATAATTGTACACGTAAACTGCATTTCCGATGTTAGCTGAACAACCGTATATATAGTGTATATGGCATATGTATAGAGTATAGAGTATACAGACACCCACTTACGAGCGCCAATCGCGCGAGATACACCCGTTTTTATTGTGCTGAACTGTGAATACGAGTGGTACCCTAGTACAGGTGGCACAGGTGGCATCGGCTGCAGCCGCGCTTGATGCAACCGAATGATGAATTGCCAGCAGCCGAGGGCAACCGGAAGCGGTAGCGGGCCTCCCGCCATCCGGCCACCTCGGCAGACGTTGCGCATACGCCCCGGCGGTCGCAGCTAAAACTCACAATTAGACTAGTGAATTCGCGTTGCTTGTTATCAGTGTCGTTGATGTTGAATTGAAATTGAAATTGAAATTGAATTGCCGTGTCATTGTTAACCGTATTCAAGTTGTAAACCGACGGCGTCGGAGTTAGCTGTTATTGGGAACCAAGCGAGGCGACTTAGCAGGGCGGCACTCATCGACCCACGCAGGAGATTATACAAATTATACAAGCATTATACATAGGTGTGCATAGTACCCACATATATACATAAGTTGGGCTAGGGGTTCTCGAACCAACTCCAACCTCCGGCCAAGTGTCGGCCACTTTTAATCCGCATCCGGCGCGAAGCCTGGCCGGATCGAGTCCCTCGATCCCTCGATCCCTCGATCCCTGGAGTTTCCCCAGTCAGAAGCTAGCGAAGTAACCTCGTTATTCTATAGATGTGTATGTGTCTATAAATATACTTTGTAGACGTTCACTCGCCAGACGCCGCCGAGCTCGAAAAAACCAAACACCCAGCCAACCCGGGAAGCCATCGGCCAGCCAGAAGCACAAGATCTCTTCAGGTTCGGGCTACACCCACTCGAGCCCGGAGCAAGTGCTGCCACTCTCTTGGCCAACTGGCTAACTGGCCAACTCAGCTGGCCAACTTAAGAGAGCGGCGCAGTGCGCTCTCATATGGTTTCAAAACCGCAGCCCAAAACAAGCGAACAATGTACGAATAATTATTGTGAAACGATGAGCAAATAGACGCTAAGCGAACAGCAAAGAAGCCATTAATCGAATCAGCCAACGTGCTAAATGCGAAGCTCAAATACCCTGTACAAATCCGTTTTGCTCAATTTTTACTTATGACTTTCGAAACCTCTAAATACACCTAATGAATTTGCACCTTAATTTTATAATGAAATGTGTAATAATTGTTTGGAATTAGAGCTACTTCCTACTTACTTCTGGCATATCTCAAAAAATAATTGTATTTGTGTACTGTATATCTGTTTCGTGTTTTCTAAGCCTAATTACCAGCTGTAAGCAGATTGGGTAATCGTTATAATATGTATTTTGCGGGACTTTGTAAGCCTGTGATTAATTTTATTAGGCTCAAAATATGCCAGTATATTATTATGAATAATTTGAAATATGTGCATTTCTAAGAGATTCCAAACTGAACCCCGTAACTATGATTAATTATTTTTTGCCAATCGAGTGCTAAAAATACACCTCCACCATGTTTTGATTCGATGACTTCAAAAGGGGTTGATGAAGAGTAAAAGGCGGAAAACATCTGCGAAGCGTCAGCGTTGATAAATGTAAAACAAAGCAAAAACAAATAAAGTTTAGCCACAACATCCGAGAGCAAGAAACAAAAAGCAGCCATCGAGCGATAAATACATGTTTCTCTTCGCGGCACATGTACGTAGTGCACTGGGGGGCGTTGTGGAGGGGCTCCAACCCGATAGCTTGACTCACTTGACTCACCCGACACGCCATCGGCCACATACTCATCCACAGCCACGGAACAGATCAGTTGGCGGTGCAGCACTCGATGTCCCCAACTTCGCCACTTGCTCGTGCCGGTCGGTCATCGGTGCGGCGCGTGAGTTTAGAATCGGAATTGGAATCGGAATCTTGTCTCAGTTAGCGCGCAAACTTCTAAGCAAACAGTCGCCAGCGCGCGGCTCCTGGGAACCCTCAAAGTAAGGAGCAGCAACAGCAAGCCGAGCCCAGACCGCCGAGGAGCACTCGGCGTATGCGTAATTACGGGCCATCAACAGCTGGCCAGTTGCCCACAGAGGAGCCACCACCTATCCCCCGATGACCCAATTCGCGGTCCGGCTCTAAAGTTCAATCCTTGTTTGAGTGCCTCCGTTGTGTGTCAATAAACTCGCGTGCCCGCTGTCCACGCTCCAGGTCATCGGAGAAACCACCGGCTGGCCCAGTGCGGAGTCACACGTTGCTCCACTCAGCTGGCAAGACGGTGAGTTCCATTCGGCGGGGCATGCAAATCGCAGCTCCAAACACAAACAAAGCCGGCGCAAACTGGCTATTAGTCAGCGCGAACGACGTGTGCCGAAAAACCGAATATACATAAATTAATGGTGTGGGTAGGAGTGAGCGGAGCCTTGGGAAGCGCGGATGAGGTGGCTCTTGTACACCCCAGGACCCACATAGCTTTGGTAAGAAAAGATGTGGTACAAGTAACCCGTAGAAGTAGAAGAGCTAGCGCTTAAGCCTTAAAATGTAGACCAACTAAACAGCAAATGAAGCGGAATCAGCATATCATGCAACTAGTTTTACACCTCATCATGGCGAAAATTATTCAAATAAATGCATGGGAATTTATGCCATATGCTACAAAACATGGAAAATAGTATACGATACCGAACTCTTAATATCATCATGCCATATATCATTATACTTGGAACATTTTTAAATCCCATATCGTGTATTGATTTTTGTGTTGTGTTGTTAGGAATACATTTTATTTTGACTAACATATAACTACCAAAGATAAGTAGCATTTTATAATTTAAATATTTTACAAAAAATGATTATAATTTATCAAGACAACTCGAACACTAGTTAACTAAAACCCCATTTTAAAACCCATATTTGTCGGTTTATCTGTAAACATTTTGTAAATCCGCACTTGTTGAGTAATTTTGTTAGGTCTCCATCAGTAGGAGCTCCTTGCTTGTCCAGTCAGTTGGGTTTCTCTACCCTTATTCAGTTGTCAGCCCAAATTCCATTCAATCGAAACCAAATGATTCAGATTTCGGCACCACATCGTGTTTAAGATCTACTGGCAAATTTAAACAAATTTCAAACGCAGTTTCCTACCTTTCGCGAGTTTTTTCGGTCTAGATTTGTAGTTTTATAATCATTCGTAGCGATAACCATTGACTTTCATCGAAGTTAAAGTGAATTAAATTGGTTTGTTCATTGATCGCACCGTATTAGGAGCGGCCATCAGCCCACAATTGTTAGCTTCAGTCTGGGACCTGATCTGGGCACGGCCGCAGTGGTATCAGCGGTTTCATCGGCTTCCACTTCCACTTCCAGACCGCCACCCACGTCCGACCACATCCAACCACATCCACTGACGCCTCCTGGCGACATTAACTGGCCTGCTGCTGCCGCCGCTACTGCCGACGGTTTGTTTGTTTTGTGCCAACTTGGATGACTCACCGTAGTCTCCGACTGGAACTGAATCTGAGACTGAGTCTGAGGCGGGTCTGCTGTAGCCAAACACTCTGAGCCAAGCTCAGTCGCGTCATCACCTTGGCTCAAGCCCACACACGAGCTCCGCAGCCTTCGCAGCGAATTCAATCGACTACCATCGAATCAAACAGACTCCATTTGGCAATGGCGTCACAAGGTTCCGGAGATATGAAAACCTCAAGGCTGGCGCAAATGCAGGTGAGAGTCTTTTGCAATCCCAAATATGAATTAGGGTAGGTACTAAGCCGCAAAAATTGGAATTATTCCAGCCTATAAGCGTATTACATTTGGTCTGTAGTTTTGGAGTACTTTATTTACTTGCCGCCCATTTAAAAATTCAATTCTGAAAAAAACTTGTATTTTGTCAAACAAAAACAAGACTAGATAGTGACGAATGCACCCGTTCAACGAAATATGATATTATAACAAAACATTTACCATATCTGCCCAAACTTAAGGAAGTCGAGATAAATATATTTAGGAGCATGGCAAGCAGAAAGCCACTTTAATTTCCGCGAAGAACCCTATATGGTCAGTAGCTTTCGGTGAATTTCTGTGTCGGGCTCTTTCGATGAAGTTTCCAGGCAAAATGCCAGCTAATTAAATTGTATTGGCCGTTGCTCATATTTGGTAATGGGAGCTTTTTGTCGCCTACGCATCAAGCATAGGAATGCCATAAGCTCCTGGAGTGCCATATGTTTACTGCTAACAGAGAGGGCGGCATCCAAAAGGGGCTTGACCATTTCCACGCGATTAGCTGTAATTAGTGTTAGCCAAACTACGTCGCTGTACGAGTATTAGCGCTCAATTTTCGAAAAGGGTTGACATTAAGAGCGAAAACATGCACACGTACACGTTGGGAAATCGAGTAAAATCCAACAAATGCGATATATTTATACCACATTAATTATTACTTGCAGTAGTTACTAAAATATAAATCAACTAAACGTTATAATATATTTATAGACGTTTTTTTTAGGCTGCAGCATATTTTTTAGGATGGTAGCTTGATTAATTAAAATATAAATATTGATTATAAAGTCAACTAAACGTTATAATATATTTATAGATTTATATATTTTTTTAGGCTCCGGTATATTTTTAGGATGGTAGCTTGATTAATTAAAATATAAATATTGATTATAAAGTCAACTAAACGTTATAATATATTTATAGATTGATATATTTTTTAGGCTCCAGTATATTTTTTAGTAGCTTGGTAGCTTGATTAAATATTGACCTAAATGCGATGCCTTTTATAGTTGCATTATATTATATGCATCTCGAGGGTTACGAATTTTCTTTGAGTGCCCATCCACCCAGCAATAGTAATTCATCAATCATAAAATGTACCTGGGAAAATAGTAGCGATTTTTATCGCCGAAGGGGCGGGCGGATAAAGGACAATGCGAAGGTCCTTTGTCACCTATAGCGGCTTTTCATCGGCGACATTCAACAATTGCTGAGCATTTGGGGAAGGTGGTTGTAAGGCGGTTGGGTGCTCGTATATATGTATCCTCATGTGGGCCGTGTCCTGGCAACGTTGCAGTCATTGATTTTTTGTTGTTATTGCAAGCCAATAACAACAAAAACAAACGGGCAGCTAAACAAAAGGGCAGACAGCTAGGATTTCTCGAGTGTCCGATATACACAAAGGACTTGCATTTTTTGCCCGGACAACTTGCCAGGTGGCCATGGCTGAGCTCGAAGGCCACTACCAGGACACCAGAGGCAGAAGACAAGCGCACCATTTGGAGAGACAACGACGGGAGGAGCATGCCCACAACCACGCCCACACCCATGCCCACACCAATGTCCCTTTCCTCGACCCGTTCCCGGGAACAGGATAGGGTTTCCTTCGCACAGGCGGGTCGGGTGACTAGGGGTTTTATGTACTGGCGGCACGTAAGTGGGCACGGATTTATTCGCTAGGGCCTGGAGGTGGCACTAAAAGCGGGGGTGACACCACCCCATCGCTACAATAGACGAGCAAACACACCGAAACCTGTGCACTTAATGACTCCACTCGGGGAAGTGGACATTAGTCCAGCCCCAGTCCATTGCGCTTAGTTGTCACGCGCTCTCCGGCCCGGAATGTTGCAAGCGACGGACGGGGACGAGAACGGAGAGCTCGTTCAGTTCGACTTCGAGTCGGAGCTCGGCCAGGATCACATCCTGCCCCTTAAGCTGAACGAGTCCTGGGCAGCCAGGCGCCTCATGGAGGCTTTGAGTCACCTGCCACCCAGTGGCAGTAACAGCACTTATTCTGCACCCGTAAGCCCAAATAGAAACCAATTAGAAAAGGAGGAACACAGTAATTTTCACAAAAATTAAAATTGTTGGAAGTAAATAATGATTCATATGACAAATAGAACATTTTAAAACTGAGAAAAATTAACTGAATTTTGTATAGCCGGTGTAATAGAAAGACCTTAAAAGGTTACTAAGTTTTTTATACATTTAATCCGTTTCCAGATGCGTTTCCAGCAGCGAACACAGCAGGAGCAGGAGGTGCGCAGACGGGAGCTGATGAGTATAAAGTCGAGTGCCGAAAATCTGGCAACTGGAGCGCCCAGTGCCGCTACCACCAGGTTGATCGGGAATGGGAAAGTGCGGCAGATGTTCGACGAACGTCGCCGCGGAGCGGGCATTGACCGCAGTAATCCCCTCAAGCCGATCGGCACTCTGCCCTCGCCACCCGCGCCATCAAAATCTCGCCCGCAGCCTCCGATGCAGCGTCTCGTCAAGGGCGTGTCCGACATGAGCATCCGGGATGCACCCAATGCAGGCAAGAGGATTACTAGCGACAGCAATAACAATAAGTTCGCCACCCCCCGGAGTACTGTGAACCGGAACCTGAAGCCCGTCGTCACGCGTAAGACGCCGCCAGCCCAGCAGGTCACGCTCCCCCAACGTTCTCCCCCGCCACAACGCAGTCCCAAGATTCAGACGACCAATCGATTAGCTGGAGGAACTGCAGCTGCCCCGCCAGCCACTCGTCTTTCTCCGCCACTTATGCGACGGGTAAGTAGCATCAAAGTGGCACGGAGGTGTCAGTCTCAAGGTAAACATATTTGGAAATATATTCTCTGTTTCCATCCAGGCTGAGCCCAAATCCCCAGTTAAAACGGTCAACATGGTGAGTATCGTAGAATAGCTGTCTGTAGTAGGCGTATACTAAGGTAACCCTTCGCTAGCAGGACACAACGTCTGCGATCCCAGAGGGCACCGCTTTATGCCGCTACTGCAGACGCCACTTCAACACGGATCGTCTGGCAAAGCACGAGGCGGTGTGCCAGCGCATGGTGACCACCAAACGCAAGATATTCGACGCATCCAAGCAACGGATCGAGGGCACCGAAGCCGAGACGTACAACAAGAAGTCGAAGGGCAATCGCAACCGTTCCACGTATAGTAGTGCTGCCCAGCAGAAGGGTCTGACCACTGGAGTGAAGAAGAACAACTGGCGCAAGAAGCACGAGGAGTTCATTCAGTCGATTAGAGCGGCCAAGCAGGTTCAGTTGCATTTGGCGCGCGGCGGAAAGTTGAGCGACCTGCCCCCGCCTCCGCCTTCGGAGAATCCAGACTACGTTCAGTGTCCCCACTGCGGTCGCCGATTCAACGAACAGGCCGCGGAGCGTCATATCCCCAAGTGCGTTAACATGGTGCACAACAAGCCCCGGAACGGTCCCGCGACAAAGAGGCGTTGAGTGGTGATTGGGAATCGGTGAACATGCCTATTCTTTTACTTGTGATAAATAAGTTTGATGATTGAAACGAATATAAAGTAGCCTATAACTAGGGTGGGTAGGGAGGTCATGGAGAGGCTAATCGGAGAGCACCTCTACGTCGTTATCCGAAGCAGAAGGCACTGCTGGCACGGCAGTAGATCCAGACTTTTCGCGCTCAATAATGGCCTTCACCGCTTCGGCAGCCTTGTTCATCTCCAATCCCTCCAGCATGTACGCCCAGTTGTCCAGAGTGGCGTCGTCGTCATCGGATATCCAGTTTGTCAGCATTTGTACGCAGGCCACGTTGGCCGCAGGATGCTCCATTTGAAAGAAGAGGAGTTCGTCGTTGGTGAAGCCAATCTTCTTTCCCACCTTCATCCATGGCTCGCCTATCAATGGCGCTACCTCTTGGATGTGCTCTTTGGTAACCATTAGGGGCTTCTCGTGCGCCGGCAACTCATCGACCTCTTCCACCACAGGTTCGTTGTCCTCTACTTCAAGATCCTGCTCTGGTTCACCGTCCTGAAAGGCGACTGTAGCATCCTGCTCGCCCTCCGTTTGAGCGTTGTTGGCCGACAAGCCAAAAGTATTCTCCGAAGAGTTGTTGCCTAACAGGGCTGCTGGTTTGGGCTCCTTGTCCCGGATGAGACGTTTGCGCACTTGTTCCAGATAATCTGAGATCTTGCTCGATGGTTGAGAGAGCGACGTAAAAAAGTGCGGAGTCTGGCGGGCAAGCAAACGCAGTGCTCGCCACTCAAATGCAGGATCCACCTTTTCGTGCGGCGTTTCTAAATATGCCTCTAACAGCGGTAGGAAGTTACGCTGTTCGCTCTTGCAGGCCTGCAGGTTATCTGGAGAGTAGTTCCACAAACGTGTTAGGTTGTCACTGGAAGTAAATTATATTAGCACTGATTTAGCTTCACCTGCTTTCGGTACGTACTTTCCCAAATAAAACTTTCCGCTGCGGGATGCATCGCGCAGTGCATCGCCCAATGCACGTCGTGGTCTTTTATTGGGAATTGGCTTCAAATCCTCTTCGTTGGGAGTTGGTTCCTCTGGCTTCTTAAATTCCTTGCAACCTTCGTTCTTCCAGTTGTTCCACATCTCTTCGCGGGCCAGCATATGGTGCACTGTCCGTGAAAACCGCTTACCATATGGTGGTGTCTCCTCTAGCAATTTATAAACACGGGACTCTGTTTCCTTAATAAAGTCTGCTTGGTCTGCAGTCAAGGTATAAGTATCACTGAAAGTACAATCATTAAATTTTGATCGTAATCCCTGGATTTTCGTATTATGCTAACCTTTTAAACTTTACACTGACTTGCAGGTACTGAAATAAAATTAGAAACTGCACCAGGACGGCACGCCGAAAATTGGCGTCAGAGAGCTGCAGAGCCAAAAGCTTGGGATTGGTTAGAAACTTAGCAAAGAAGTGGTTCGCCTTGATGACGGAGGTCACCGCCGTAGCGTCAACAGCCTCTTCATCCACATCCATTGCGTTGTCAGACTCGCTCGCATTATCGCTGCTACTTTGACGCACGTCCTCCAGCTTGAAGCTCGAAAAGGACTGTAGTATATTTTCAGCATGCTGAAATGGGAAATTTGCAATATAGTGGTCCCTAATGGGACATGCAAAAATTTATCTTTATAATAAAGAGACATGAAGCAACATGGGACAGGTAATTGATAATCTTCGACAACATGTCATCCATATTTAGGAGCAAACTAAATGGAAAATATCCTATTTCTCTTTGAGAGAGTGTGGTTTACTCTACAATTGTAATTGCAATTTAGGTTTCTGAAATCTAAATTGAAGCTCTCCAAGCCGCTGCTCACCATTTGAAACATCTTCCACTGCGCCTTATTGTAACACTGGTTGGGATTCCGGAAAAAGTCCTGCAGCGACCAAAACTTGCAGTATAGGTCGTAGTCTATCTTTAGGGGGATGTCCTCAGCGGTGTCCTCCAGCTCCTTGTTGTCGCTTTCGTCGTGGTCCTTACTGTCCAGGCCGTATTCCGTAAAGTTGTCCAGGTTGAACTCGGAGACTATGTTTAGGCCAGACCGCTCCGAGAATGGAAAAAACTTCGAGAGGAAGAGCTGTATGCGGCCACAGAAGACGGTGTTCTGGGTGCGCGAAAGTCGCCGCAGCAGGTCGTTGCACATGCGTAGGATGTTGTTCTTGCACGAGGCGAAAAAAATCTCCTCCTTCCAAACCTCCACCATCTCCTCGACAAACTGGAATATCTTCAAGCACTTGTCCAGCGTGACCACGTCGAAGGTGTCGATCAGCAGCACCACAGGTATGGTGTTAGACACAATCTCGGCCCGCGTGGCTTCCACGGAGAGGCGCACCAGCTCTCCAATGCGATTCACATCGTCATACAGCCGCTTCATCAGTAAAACCCGGAACGCATGGTCCATGGGTAAGCGCTTGTCGTGATCAGTGTTGCCTGGGAAGCTGTTGTACTCCTTGACCAACAGTTCCACATTGCCGTCGGCGATGGCCAATTCAAGGGCTTTCTGAAAATTTATATTTCATATCAGATCCGATCTTTGCCGGCTTCGGAGCCATGCATCTAAAATGTTTTACCTCAAACGCCGTCTGTAGCTCAAAGTAATTGGCCAACTTTCCCGAAGCCGTGTTAGCCACTTCTACGGCGGTGTTCATTTTGCTTGAAATATTAATTGTGGCGACAACAGCTAGAAACAATAAAGTAATTTGTCTTTTCAATCAAAACATCACGATTAGTGCTGCCAACTTGTTTTGGTTAGTATATAGTGCGGTGCAATTAATACTTTAAATACCAAAATATCGATGACATCTCGATTTTTTTAGGCGGACGGAAATTAAAGATTTTAAATTCGGTTTTTCAGCGAATTTGTTATTTTACATTACGTGTTTTTGAGACACAACTTTTTGCTCGCTTTTCAATAGTATTTAATAGGGATGATTCCTATAGATTCCAATAGTATTCAATGTTATTCGCAAACTTAATTTTTCTCAGCGAGCAATTATTCTTTGAATATTATTAAGCGTAAAAATCTCCAAATTGAATATACTTGCTTTGGCATCTTACATCAATTTAAAAGCTTAATGCTTTGTTGATAACGATAGCATTGAGCCGGGGCACGAGAATCCGCTATCAGCTATTCAGACAAATACGCATAGATTTCAGATTCCAATTACCTTCCCACTGCGTGCGCGAGGTCGGAGAAGTCTTATAAGTGGGCCAGCCAAATACAATGCAAATCGGGTACGGCTTTATTCGGAATCTTAATCTTTGACAGAGTGGTCATGCGCAAGTCGATTAAATACATTTTGCTAGGGATTTTGGCGCTTAGCGGGTTCTGCTGCAGCTCTCCGCTCAAACAGCATTTTCCCGATTATAATTACCAAAGTCCTTATTGGCCCCAGTTCTATCCTGACTATTACAACAGAGGTTATGCGCAGCCACAGCCAGAACGGCCTGCAAAATCTGCGCGGTCATACAAGGACATCTGCAGGTTGGTCAACACCAATGGATTTACAAACCCTGGAGGAGTGCCTAGGTGCCCTTACTAGCCTGCTGAACACTTTTATCTACAACACAAATATTTCAAATATATCTAAATTGCATTTTCCTTAATATACTAGACTGTATTTTAAACTATCGAAACCACGTTTACAACTTAGGCAAATCACGAAATAATACAGGAAATAAATATAGGAGCTGTGCTTAGAAGCTACGATCATGTGCTAAGCTTAATCTAGCTATTCATAGACAACAGAAGCAACAACCTTAAGCTATTTGGGGACGGGCTCTAGAAGAGTCGCTTCTGGACGATGTAAAAGACACAGGCGAGGAACAAGGAGAAGGCGAAGAAGAGGAGCATCTTGTCGGTGCACTCGCGTCGTCCGTACTTCTTGAGCAGCTTGCCGGACATGGTAATGGTGCCGGCCGTGGTCTGCAGCTCGTCGCTGGTGGCCTCCACATTCTGCGACGAGGCCACCAGCGTTTCCAGGGTGACGGCGCTCTTCTGGGTGGTCTCCGAGAGGTGCCGGGATATGGCCAGCATCTTCTCGGTCACATCGTTCTCCTGTGAGACCAGGCTGCCCTGGTTGTGCCGCGCCCGTGTGGTGGTCCGTTGGCGCAGCTCACTCTCGCCGGTAATGGCCATCAACTCCTCTCGATTGGCCTTCTCGATCTCCAGCATTGTGGACACGTTTGCCTTTCGAAACGCCTGCAGCGTTTTGGAGAATTGATCACGGTGGGTGTCCACTTCCTTGGCCAGCGCCGCGTCTGCTGTGTCCCGCGCCCAGTCGTCCAGCCGCTCGATGCTTTTGCGGATAGCAGACAGTTTGGAGCGGCCCGCTTCGTTCAGCTCCTCTAGTTCGGCGATCGAGGTGCGGCTATTCAGGATGTCCTAGAAACAAAAGCTCGGTCTTTAGGTTTTCTCTTCAGATGGCGAACACTCACCTGTATTATTGCCTTGGCCTGCAGATTGTTGTCGATAAGGTCCTGCCGGATGGACTGCAAAGTAAATGTATCCTTGTCCATGGCTCCAACTTTGTTGTTTTTAAAAATATTCTATTATATTGCTCTGGTGACGTGCATTTAACGTTAATTCACGCGATTTTTCAACACTACTGCGGCGGTATAAATCGATAGGCATTCACTTTGTCTGATAAACATCGTTTAAATAGTGATGGTATAGTTTTGTAATAAAATTTAATACTCTACCTTAGTTCATAATTCCTATAACTATATTTGCCAAAAAATATGTTTTAAAAAATGTAAAATAATCTAATATTATTAATATGGTTTTCTATGTAGGTATTTTCTTTTTTGTTACTTTTAACTGAATTCTAATGCAAAATATGGTATCGATAGTCGATCGAATTGTTGTGCCCGAAAGACTGTAAAGTGCCATCTTTAAGGGCTGCTTTGGCCGCGTAAAAGGAGCAAACTATTTCGGACATTTCGGTCTACGTCGAACCACATTATATATATGTCTGGGATCACCTGCCTTTGTCTTTACTAGGAAACCATTTCAAACCTCAATTGGCCATTTTTAGCCAGAAAAATGTCGGATTCGACTATCTTTCCTTTTGTAAGTATTCCCTGGACATGAAACCAGTTAATTCCGATTTATTTGTTTAGTAGAACTTAACTGCTCAATCATCCATCGTTGGTCAGTCAGCGGACAGCAACGTTTCCAGTTCGAGCGCGAGCTCAAGTGTATCTGAATCTTCTGCGGAATCCCATTCCGGATCCAATACATCCGTGGAATCTCATTCATCTGGTAGTTCAAATTCGTCCTTTGAATACCAATCACCAGTAGATCGTGATTTATCTGTGGAATCAGGCTCAGACTTATCAGACTCATCTTCGACATCTAATACCAGCGAAACTACTTCGGTCGGAGAAGCTTCAAACCAACTGCAGTCACCGCAAAGCAATAGCTCCTTGAATATGAGCCACGATGAATCGCACTCCCTGGCTAACTTGTCGCTCTCGAATGACGATGCTCACTCGCAGATCAGTTCACTTACCCAGGATGTTATCCAGATGGAAGCAGAATTGGATCGCAGTATGTCTATCCTGTTCTAAATCTTTGAAGGCATCAGTTAATTGTTTCATATTTCAGTAAATCGCTACTGCGAGGAAGTTGTGGCACAGATGGACCCCTTTCCCACAAGTACGTCAACGCCAACAGTGGTGCGTGGAAATCGCCGCAGAAGTGCCAGTAAGTGCAGATTGAAATAAACGATTTGGTTTTCACATAACTAAGACGGGGGGATAACTGTAGATACTGTTAATAGCCAACGACATAGTTCTTCCCAGAACCCTCATGGCTTACTTACAATTTACAAACAAATTTGTTTGAACTTTTTAAGGTATAAACTCATCTTAAAAAGGAAATTTTGTGAAAACTAAAAACCTTTTGCGTATAGAGTTATACATAAACAGTATACCATTTCTTACTTTTTCTGTAGTGAGTCCAGTAGAAGTAATAGATCTGTCCCATTTGGAATTTGTACCACCGGTTCGATCCGCACGGAATCGTGCGCCTGATGCTGTCATCGATCTATGCACCCCCGACAGGCCAACAAGTCGTCCACTGAATCTTCCCTCTAACGACTCCTTCACCATTCCTAATCGTCGGCGCGTCTCTGTTCAGTCAACTGAAAATTCCCCGGTAGTGGATCTCGACGCTGTGTCGCCACCAAAACGCGTTAGTCGCGAAGTAAATCTGTCCCAAAAAGAGGACTCATACAAGTGCCCCGTCTGCATGGACAGTGTAACGAAGCGCGAACCAGTGTCAACAAAATGTGGACACGTCTTTTGCCGGGAATGCATTCAAACAGCCATCAGTGCTACGCACAAATGTCCAATGTGCAACAAGAAGCTGACTGCACGTCAATTCTTTCGCATTTACTTGTGAGTTGCTTACACTAATTTCTAATATAGTTGCTCTGTGAGCCACACTTTTTTATAGGTTGAACTTAACTTAAATTAATAGTCTTAACAATGTTAGAGACGGCAATGTCTGTTCTTGTGATTAAAAAATAAATTTTTCTATGTGTTTATATAATCAGTTAAGCCCAAAAATATTCCTAATACATATATGTGAAGTAAAAACTTGACTTTTTTGAAAACCATTCTCAGGCTTAAATAGCGAAAATTATTAATAGTTCCTTTAATTAATATACCCCATTGACCATTAAATTTATAATGTATCAAATTTAGTAGTTTGTATACGTCTTGACTGATATTTTATTTGTCTTTTAGGATTATACGCCTAAAAATACGACTTCTGCTAGTATTCAGAGTAAAATATTTCTATGAATCTGAGGATCTTTTCGAATGTAATCTTGTAATCAGTTACGCCCAAAAATATTCCTAATACATTTATGTGAAGTAAAAACTTATCTTTTTTGAAAACCATTCTCAGGCTAAAGTAGGGAAAATAATTTATAAGGATACGGTTATGAGCGCCTTTTCCTATTCTATTAGGCCAACTAGGCGTGCCAAAGTATTATACTGAAGTTTTTCCAAACGCAATTCAAAAATGTAACATATACAATAAATAAACGGCATAGCATAACAGTGTTGTCCCAATCTCATTTTTCATGTGGAAGGCTCAGAATCATTAAAGCATCGACAAACCTGGAAATAATACAAATTCAATGAGTGAAAATAGAACCTAGATGGAACAGCGAAAGAATGATGGAAAAATGAAGCATTTCGAGAATGTGGAGTCAACAAATTCAAGAGTTATAAGTAATGTTTTGTCATCCCTTTTACCATTAAATTTATAATGTATCAAACTTAGTAATTTTTATACGTCTTCATTGATATTTTAGTTGTCTCTAAATTATACTCCTAAAAATACGACTTCTGCTAGTATTTGGAGTAAAATGTTTCTATGAATCTGAGGATCTTGTCGAATGGTTTGTTTTTATTTTTAATGATTAATAATAATTTCCAATCCCCTAAGTATGCTATGAAAAACCTTGTTCTAACAATGTAAAGTAGATCCACACATTTTAAATATTTTTCATTGCGCGTTCTTGTTCCTCTTTTGTATACTATTTCGATAAATTTGGTGAAAATAAACAAAATTTGATGATGAGTGAAGAAATAATTGGAGAGAAAACTTCCTTATCAAGCCTTATCTACCCGAAGCGCATACCAAATATTAAGTTTGGTCCTATAAAAGACGAAATGGGCTTCACACTCAGCGAAAGATTGGCCCTCAGACAGGCGTGGAACTTGATCAGACCCTTTAAGCGGCGCTACGGTCAGGACGTATTCTACAGGTAGGTTTACTTTTGACCGGGAAATGCCTCAAAACTATGTTTGGCAGCTTCTTAAATGATTACTATTGGGGTATTACAAAGTTCGTGAACGGAGCTGAGCTCAACCTGAAAGCCCTGCACTCACATGCCTTGCGATTTATCAACTTTTTTGGACTTCTAATCGAGGAGAAAGATCCAGTAGTGTTCCAGCTGATGATAAATGAGAACAACCACACCCACAGTCGCTGCAAAGTGGGCTCCGTTTCTATTGGGGTGAGTGCGGTTGGATTTACAATTATTTACTCAAATTTAAGATTAATCCTGGATAAATATGTGATCATAAATGTGTCACTAAATTGCGGTTATATTTTTATTTAAAAACAGGAAGTTGCTACTCAGGCATTTTGTTTTTCCATGTCAACTCAATAAATTGATAAATTATATTCATTTACTATATATAAGTATTCACTTTGAATTTAAAATTAAGATTAAGTCTCGACAATTCGTATTGATTTTTTTTATAAAGGGATTATAACCGATAGGCATCCCTTCAAACTTATAATAGGTTGGAAAATATCTCCCTTCCGCTTTTTTGCTCTTTATTCAATGCCTTATAAAAAGTGTTACAGTGATCGGATTTAGTTCAAATATGCGCCGTTTTGTTCGATAATCTGTTTCCATCTAGATGGCAACTTCATAATACCTCTCTCGTAGCAGCCCCCCTCCTTATTTGCGAAGAACTCGGACAGCCACTTTTCACAAGCCTCTTTTGAGTTCAACTTTACACCACCAAGGGCATTCGCCATGGACAGGAACAGGTGGTAATCACTTGGCGCTATGTCCGGGCTATATGGTGGATGCGATAAAACCTCCCATCCGAGCTCCCTTAGCTTCTGACGAGTCATCAACGAAGTGTGTGGTCTGGCGTTGTCCTGGTGGAACACTACACCCTTCCTGTTGGCCAATTCTGGACGCCTGCTTCAAGCGGTCCAGTTGTTCGCAGTAGATGGTAGAATTAAGCGTCTGGCCATATGGGAGCAGCTCATAGTGGATGATTCCCTTCCAATCCCACCAAACACACAGCAAAACCTTCCTGGCCGTCAATCCCGGCTTGGCCACTGTTTGGGACGATTCACCGGCCTTCGACCACGACCGTTTTCGCTTGATATTGTCGTATGTGATCCATTTTTCGTCGCCAGTCACCATCCGCGTCAAGAAGGGGTCGAGTTCGTTCCGTTTCAGCAGCATATCGCAGGCGTTATTTCGGTCCAGAAGGTTTTTTTGCGTCAAATCATGCGGCACCCAAACATCAAGCTTTTTTTTGTATCCAGCCTTCTGCAGATGGTTTAAAATGGTTTGGTGACTAACTCCCATCTCCTGGGCGATGTCACGAGATGCCACATGCCGGTCTAACTCGATGTATTCCATGATTTGATCGGTATTTCTCGTCACAGGTCTTCCGCCGGCTGGCTTATCCATGGTGTCGTTTTCACCGGGTCTGAATCGTCGAAACCATTCCTCCGCGGTTCGAAGTGATAGAGTACCATCCCCCAAAACACCATTAATCTCACGGAACGTTTCTCTGGCGGATTTGCCTTTAACGAAGGAAAACTTTAAAATAGCGCGAATTTCGGCGTTAGTGAACTCCATGTTTACACGTCTATAACTGTTGAACGCAATATCCAAACTAATCATGCATAGCGTCGTTTTGTAGGTTATGTCAATACCTTTCAAATTATGTATAGTATTGCCAGATACGAGCTCTGTAGCGCTTTGTACATAGCCGCGAAATTCAAAAGACAAAAAGGCGGAAGGGAGATATTTGCCAAACTAATATCTTCAGATTATTAAATAATATAAGTCGTAATTCTAAAAACTTTTGCTTCGGTTGTAATAGTCCAAGTTTTTATTGCTTTATACATATGTCATTATTCATAACGCTTCGGTTTACAAATGTGTAATAAATTTGTTTAATATATAACTTACAGATTAATCACTTATCTTACATAAAAGTTAAAAACACAAATTGTCGCGACTTGTCTTGAATAAAAAACAGTGTTACTCATAATCTAGTTATTCAGATTTTCAAATTTAAAGGCTACAATTTTATTTTGTTACTATATAATTTACTCCGATGCCGAACTAAAAAAATCAGGTTTTAATACGAACCAATATTTTTTAGGGATTACCGTGGTAAATAACTTAAACTTCCGTTGTACTTCTCAGCACCTGGCCCAGGCCCTGGTGGACTATGTGCTCAAGGTGTTCCACAAGGTCAGCTCCCCGTCACTGGAACAGGGCTTGGACAAACTCGTGGAGAAGTTCCAGAACTACCAGGACCATCAGTCGATTACCTCCGCATACAATCGCCCGAGTAAGGCGAACTCTGATGCCCGACCTCCCAGAGGAAACCCAGTGGAAGCCCAGGGCATGAATCGGAATTATATCGGGCTACGTAACTCAGCCGCGGACGCTGTCTCTGCCACCGCGATATCAGGCTTCTAGTATCAGCCTCTGTCGCCGTCGCCGACGCAGCTGCCGCTTATTTCGCTTAGCTGCTAAGCGATTTCCTTGGAGAAATTCAGTTCAGCTCGGACGCTCATCGCGGCCATCCACACGTTTCGATAGTTAAGGCTTTCAGAGAACTGGAGTGATCAGAAAAGTGCCAGTAGCAAAGTAAACAAAAATAAATCGAACATATAACCTCGCATTTGCGAGTTCTGCTTAGAAAGTTATTGAAACATGGTGGCTACCGAGGAACTTAAAACGGTAATTGAACTAACCAATTTTGGATCGCTTTAGCCCTATATCTGAGTTCTAAGTCCTTTAGGGGAAAATATGAACTGTAAGAAATGAATTACGCATACGACATGCTGACCAGTAAATTTGGTATTTTTGGAGCGAACATAGCTATTAATAAACAAGCAGTGGCGCATGGCTAAGATTAGCTATTCTTTATAAATTTGGTTGAGTATCAGTATATCAGTGCCTAGTAAGGGCCATTTCAAATTAATTTAAATTTAAAGAACCGGAAATTCTTGTGCAGACTGATAGAAAAATGAAAACCGCGTTTTTTCAAAATATTAGACCATTTCTTAACAATTTAAATCGGTTTAAACTTGTAAGCCTCTTGAGCTTTGTTTTTAGGTCTTACTACTTTTCAATTACCAAGGCAAAAATGTTTGAACCTTTTTAATTAGCTACTTAAAATTGCATTTGTCGTCGAAATCTTGCCCTCAATCAGAGAATTAATTTATTAGGACTAATTGCGAAACGATTTCCAAGTGGGCAGCAAAAATATCTAATCGAACCAAAGCTCCCCATGAAAAAGTGTACTTTAAGTTGAAGATTTATAAAGCCTGCCCCCTGAACAGTTTTGTTTACGGTTCCGTTTGCTAGGTTACCAAGTTCTCCAGCTCTTATCGAGAGCAATAAACCATTGATTAGAGTGGGCTTAGGGCCCTGGGATCGAGAGCTTTGTACTTGGGGGGTGGCACACCAACCTATCTTGCCCTTGGCAGTGGGACAGACTACGCCGATCGAACGGTTGCCACTCGACAAGGCCTCTCAAGTGGTTCTAACCAGGTGATTGGATGGGCCATTGGGAAGTCGTACACCCGTAACTGAGCATGAGCAGTAGGCGCTTATCGGGGAGCCTGGAACATCGTCAAGACTTCGGAGGGAGTAGCAGCTGCGATCGGCGTGCGGTTCACGCAGCCACTAACTGCTTTCGATAATGGCCAATTAGCTGTCCACCGTTGGACGTGACGCTGGGTTCTTTGGATTAAAAAAAAAAGATCCAAAAGATCGGGTTCTAGCCTGTCAAGTGATTCACTTTTCGGCTGATAAGGCTAGTCGTGATTGGGTTTTTGGCCTTGCCCCACAGTGCCAACGCTTTATCAAATCGGCTAGTAAAACAGGCAGCAATCATTGCAGCAATATAATATAATGTTCATAATTCCAGTCGCGTGCCAATCAATTGTTGTTTATGCTCTCTGACATATTTACTCCGGGTTTATCTGGCCTGCACTGAACTGTCGGGCAAGCTGCAGGGTACAAATAATAATATTTACATATCAATAAGTTGTAGCGTTTCATGGCCAATCGCATCCGGCGAAATGTTTCTTTAAACTTTTGTATTGGATGTAAATATCCCGCACTTAGCTGTTAGAAGTTCGACTTTTCGTAGGGCCATTTTGCTTTCCTACTCCCTTATAATCAGGGTATGTTTTAATAAAATATTCATTGTAGCTCCTTATGAGTCATAATTTACACATTTACACCGTATTCTAAGCACTTTTTTTTTTAAAACACTATTTGGAAAAGAACAGAATTTTAGTTTTTCTCTATCGGGTATTAAAGTTAAAGTTGTATCCCATTGAATAAGCGCCCCAAAGGAGTGCAAAAGCCACAAGAAGGAATCTTTATGGCGGTATTGCCGTTTTCATGGTCTATATTTAAAAGCATTTGAATGCCAGGCACACCTTGCAACAGTAGCAACATCCATGGGTAAACAATATCGCTTTAATTACCGCATGGGCAACGGACTTGAGCAAATTAAGGGAATTGCGTCAATAAAAGATATTGTCTACCGACCGAGTGAGCTGCCATGGCGCGTTCCCGATAAAGCCAAGCAAAATGTGGGCGGAAGCATCGAGCGTAGGGCCATTGTGCGTCCAAGGCATCCACTCGCGGATGGGTATGGGACTCGGAAAACGGGGCAGGTGCTTGGGAACAGGCCTCCCAAGTGCAACATGTGCATATGGCACATGGCACATGGCACAAGGCGCTCGCCGAACTTGACATCGGAAAAACAACAGAAGGCAGAAACAGAGTGAAGAGCACAGCGAACGATGCAAGCAGATTAGCATGTGTTGTTTTGGCAGCCCTATTCGTACACTGGGCAAAATTTCGGTCACCTTTACTGAAGTGGGGTCTTGAGTGGACAGTCGCTTTTGTCGCTTTAATAGCATACTTTTAGACCGCTGTTCCATCGCTTAGAAATTTTTATTCTTCTAAATATTATTTAATAATATGTAATGTAAAATGTTGCATTTGTTAGTTTTAGGAAACACTATACAGTTTAATTTATTTTTGTACATCTAAGATTTCAGAAGAATGCATGTTATTATGCCAATCAATTTTATTAAGTTTAATTTATTTTTTTTACATCTAAGATTTCAGAAAAATGCATGTTATTATGCATATCAAGAGTGAACTAGAATTGATTTGATTTTTGGAGCTGAAAGTATTTAGCTGAATACAATTTAAGTTAGCAATACACAAGATATCTAAAAACAAAAAGTCGAAACTAAAAAACTCATAACAATCCCTTTTCGCAATATGTTTCAAAAGCTTTTTTCTCACTGATTGGTGGGTGTGTCAGTCGCATCGCTCTGACCCCCTCTCGCTGTCTCCCTCGCACCCTGGGCCCTCTCGCTCGCACCGCCGGCGATTGATCGACTTGTTTGGGTGCAAATGCGGCGACAGGTTTCTTTTGGCATGCACTTGACGCCATTAAGAGGCACCTACGTGCTTCACCTTATAATTAGACATTCCACTTTAACAACATTTTAAGCGGGCGCCTGCACATCCATTAAGGAATCAACAGCCACGTCCAGCTTCCTCCTGTTTACGGCCGGAGAATCGGGTTCCTGATGAACTTGGCTAGTGCACCTCAAACGCACCGAAACTCATTTAGCCATTTGATCTTATCTGGCGGAAGTACTCGTTTGCTTGGACTTTGCTCAGCTCGCTTGCCGTGGCGTATACGTAATTTTTGCGTGCTTTCGCAATAGAAGTCATTTGATGGGCAATTAATACGACAATGCAATTCGGAATTGGTTGATCGATAGCGGGAATGGGTGGATTGGTGGGCTAGTTAGACAGATACTTCCAACAGGTTGTTCTTTTATTTTCGGCTGTGCACATTGTGAGCATCCCATTTCAAGAGGAAATCCATTTGCATCTGATTCGCGTAATTTGTTGGCAGTCCAACAAAATGCCGACAAACGTGCCAGACGAAATAAAAGTTCTATGCACAATAGAAGAATCTTCGCCAAGAATCGAGATGAAAATACGTTTTTTCGAAGAGACCACCGATTCAGTCTGCTCGAGGTGTTCGCACGAGACAAACCACTGCCCCCGAGGCAACCCCTAAAATTAGCGGAAAAATCAAAACAAGAATACGTGTATATATAGGCGAACGCGCTCCTAAGATAATTAATGGGACGCGATAGAAATAAGTGAAATACATAATCCGATCTATACTCGTACAAGCCATAACACAGTGTTTTTTACACCAACAAAGAGTCGTCAAATTTGGCGCAGTGCGTTCTTTCTTATATAAGGCGTGGCTGAAGAACCCGGAAATCGGCCGAACCTCGAATGGATTCGGAAAAAGTGGTCCGCGCAATGGCCCGTTGGTGGCAGGTAAATTGCGCAGCATTGCATTTTAGAGTTTATTTAAAAATGTGTGTTTTTAAATGGAAAAGGGTTTTAAGTACTAGTAGGTTCAGTGGTTTACAAGGCAAATGATAATTTACTATTGAGGATGTAATGTTGATATTTCTTAAAGGGGTAGTGGTTGCAGAATTGGATCGTAAATGTGTTCACTGTTTATTTAACTTTTCCTTTAGAATGGTTTTCGCTTTTCCGAGGGAAATCTCTTTAAATTGATTCCTTACATCGCTAAATGTTGGTGTTTTCCTTAGGGTCCTTGCAATTTTCACAGTTATGTATATGGTTTTCATCGCTGTCCAGAGAAACACTAAAATTTTGCCTATTATCATTGCCAGGCCAGCGAGGAAACTGAGCAGGGCAGCAATCGTAATCATTATGAATGGAGGCTATTTGATTGTGAAATAATCCTGTAAACAATTCTTCTTTTTGCAGACTGTTAGTCAGGAGGACGGGGACTCACGCAATCCAGTGACCTATGACCTCCTGCAAGAAAGCGAATCGAGGACTTCTAAGACCCGGCAATATGTGGCGGCTTTGATAAGTGGGCACAATGAATTTATTTATTGATTGATTTATTTATTGACCAACAATTGATATCTTACAGTTTGCTTGGGCGCGGTTGCCGCAGGAACTGCGTTATCCTGGACGTCTCCTGTGCTTCCGCAGTTATCTGTCGAAAACGGAACCATAAATCAAAGCAGTTTGAATTCCAACTCGACTTCCACCAAGGATGACATTCGACTGACCGAATCGCAAAGTTAGTACCTTTCTTATAACGTTAAGTTTTCAGATTACAGAATAACGCTTTATATGCCACTATAATGTTCATATTGCATTGATAACGTATCTTCTTGCATTTTGATTCCCATTCAAGTTAAGGGTACATGTCAAGTGGTGGACATATACATTTTGGGAATCCCATTGTATCTGTAATTATTTTAAAATACCTCTTAGTAATTTTTCACTTTTCCAATATCAGGAAAAGGTAATTTAGCCAGTTACTTGTTTTTTTTGTCTTCGGTTCTAGCAATTCATTAAGTTGACCGAAACTATTACGGCCATTTTGCTATCTCAGGTTACAATTGGTTGGGATTTACGTGATAATGAACAGTATAGATAAAGTATATAAGTTGATTACAACTGGTTCTGGGACTTATTAACCAGCGATTGCTTTCCAGAAACATGGGTGGTGTCCATGTTGCCCTTGGGCGCCCTTTTCGGAGCCCTGCCCTCCGGATACATTGCCGATACCATCGGGCGGCGAAATACTGCCATGGTGATGGACATACCCTTTATCTTGGCATGGATCTCGATCAGTTTCGCCAACTCCGTCGGCTGGCTCTACTTGGGAAGATTTTTAATCGGTAAGTGATGGAAACTGGATAGTTGGAGCATGATTTAATGTGCAGCATTTCAGGTATCTCAACTGGCAGCTTCTGCGTGGTGGCTCCCATGTACATCTCGGAAATCGCGGAGACCAGCATTCGCGGCAGTCTGGGCACATTGTTCCAGTTGCTCCTTACGATCGGTATCCTGTTCATTTACGTGGTGGGAGCTTTGGTCTCGTGGAAAACCCTGAGCATGCTCTGCCTAGCCATACCCATCCTGCTCCTCTTCGGCCTGTTTATCGTGCCCGAAACTCCAGTATATCTACTTAAGAGGGTAAGGGACTTGAGAAACCCGGCAATATAAAGTATTTTTATGAAGGCATGCAATACTATTAGAACGTATATATCTTAATGATTTGATGAACCATATTGACTTAGACTGTGGTACCCTTTTGAATTCCAGGGCAAGCGCTCCGAGGCGAATCGCGCACTAAAATGGCTGTGGGGAGATTACTGCAACACCAGTAGCGCCATCCAGGCTTTCCAAAACGACTTGGATCAGACTGGAGCGGATGCCTCCGTAAAGGACTTGTTCAGCAACCGAGCCTCGCGGAATGGAATGGTGATCTCCGTGCTGCTGATGGTATTCCAGCAGTTCTCCGGCATCAACGCCGTGATTTTCTTCATGAACGAGATCTTTAAGTCTAGCAGCACCCTGGATCCTGACGTCTGCACCATAGTGGTGGGTGTGGTGCAGGTGATCATGACCCTGGCCTCCTCCCTGCTGATCGAAAAGGCCGGCCGCAAGATCTTGCTGCTCCTCAGCAGCATGATTATGACGGTCTGCCTGGCCATGCTGGGGGCCTACAACACGATCCAGAGGCACACGGATGTGTCCCAGTCCATTGGCTGGTTGCCCCTGCTCTGCATTGTGGTGTTCATGGTGAGCTTCTCGGTGGGCTACGGCCCCATTCCCTGGATGATGATGGGCGAACTCTTCATGCCGGACGTAAAGGGCATCGCCGTCTCCCTGAGTGTCATGATGAACTGGGTGTGCGTGCTCCTGGTCACATGGGTCTTCAGTCTGCTCAAATCAGTTGGTTCTGATGTGCCGTTCTGGTTCTTCAGCGCCTGGATGGCGGTAGCCACTGCCTACGTGGCCATCGTCTTGCAGGAGACGAAGGGCAAGAGTGCCAGCCAAATCCAGAGCTGGTTAAGCGGACGCTGAGGATCGCAGGAGGACTCCATCCCATAGTTCATTCTAGCTAAATGCCGTTGAATAAGCAGCCAATGCCAAAGCTTTTTGCCACCTTTGCAAAGATATGTTCTATATTTCATTTTTAATTACAACGATTTAGCAGCCATTGAATCAGGCACAACTGAACTAAAACCCATCGAAAGCCAGTATATGTAATTTGTCTTAATGTTATTACAATTTGTTTCGGAGTTAAGGCTAATAATGCGCTAAATGCAACTTAACTTATTGATGTTCCACAATGTTCAGTTACGTAGTATAGATCAACTAGTTCCTAAGCACTCATGGTCACGGCCAAATATCCATATAAGATTCGATTGGACTTCCACCCAGTTATGTGTAAACGTACTTTGGGATTGCACAGACATATACCTATATTCATACTTCTGTGTGCTAGCTTTAACATATGTACATATATTTGATAATAAAAAATGTAAACTTTACAGGAACTGTAAAGTGTTTGCGGGTCAGATTGGGGGCGATAGCCCCAGGCCCGGGTACGCCCCTTAAAATGTGAAATTGGATCACTATCAGGCGATTGCAGTCCAGCGGCTGGACGTTGGCGACAGGCCACGCCCACTCCTGGCGCCAGTAAACAGCGCCCCATTCCACTCACCACCCACCACCCACCGCCCACCGCCCCGCGCCTTGGTGAGTGTCAAGGTCATCGTCGGTTGATTGATTGATCGACATCGAAGTCGGAATCGCCAGATCGGCGACCAAATGCAAATTGAAATCGCGCCAGCCAGCGCACTGCGTTCTTCGCAAATATTTAACGCAATTACAGGAAGCCATCGAAGCCCCTATTTGTTTATGTATTTGCTCACATGCTCAACAGGTTGGCGACAATCAGCAGCAAAATAAACACTAATGACAAGTATCGCGGGGGGCGGAAAAGTGGGGATGATGGTGCAAATGGAGATCATTTGGCAGATGGGGCTTACAGCTATTGCCGCTAATTCCAATTGGCGTTCTGGCAAATAAATCGGGGGGATATAACCTATATATGTATGTATGTGCACGGTTTAGCTGTGAATGGATAAATAAGGTAACAATTGCAATACTATATTTTATTTTGAACAAAAGCTGAATTATTTAAAATTTACAGCAATCATATTTTAATATTAGCTAACATATTTTACGTATTCATGTAAACTACCTTGATTATAAATTATATGTAAATTTGTTAAAGTTTGATTATAAATAATTATGAGACTGTTTATTTGTTATGTTAAAAACAACACATAACATTTAAAAATGCAGCACTTGGCGAATTTACAAAAATAGTATCACAAACAGCTAATAAACTGGATTTTAATTGCCGTTATTGCATTGGTGTAGTAGTTTACAGCAATGCCGATTATTTTTATTCCTGTGTGAATTTCAAGTGTTTGGTAAATAAATGTATTGATGGGTTATCAGTTATCAATCAATGTGCGCAAATAACAATGTTATCATATTGTTTAAAAATAAACTGCACAAAAATTTAAAATGGTATTCCCTCTAAGTTTCGGCTTGAAGTTTTGCGAAGCTTGTGGGCGTTAGGGTGGGCGTAGCATCATGGGTTGCTTTTTTTACATGTTTGTCTTTGGAATCTGCATGCTTAATCTCAACTTTCTAGGTGTTATAGGGTCTGAGATCTCGAAGTTCATCCGGACGGATGGACAGACATGGCCAAATCGATGATTTTTATTCAAAATATATGTACTTTATATCTGATACATACTTTTCAAGGAATCTAGTTACCCTCTTACTCAACGAGAATCGCGTATATCAAGGTAACATGTAGCATCACATGACAAATCTAAGGTCCTCTTTGTACCCGTTACTCGAAGATCAAAAGACTAAAATAGATTTTTTGTTGTTTGACATATGCATATTTATGATCAGCAATACTAGGTCATGTCCGCCTGTCTGATCGATTGGACGTTGAGATCTCGAGGACTATAAAAGGTAGAAAGTTAAGATTGAGAAATTTATTTTCAGGAGACGCCCAAAAAATCACGCGTTTGAAAATAGTTTTATATATATTTTTTTTTATTATTTGTCATGCCACTTTCTAGTGATTTACTTCCCCAGCTGGGCAATTGGTACCTGATAGTCGAAGAAACTATAGCGTTCTTTCTTGTTTTAGGTAAATAAGAGAATATTGATGTGTGGCATCATTTACGCTTATTTTTACTTGTTTTGTAACTAATTATTGAATAATTATAGAATTTATCTATAAAAGCTTATCGAAAATTGGAGTAGCAACTTCCTATTGGCTCACTTGAAATAATATATGTATTTTCAGATTGCACTAAAAGTTCCATCCGCCGATTAATACATTACAATACATTACGCAACTATTGTTGTAACAATTGCATTGTAACAATTGCAGTATTTATAATGTTTGCTTTGTTATCATGAAGCAGTAAATGGCATTATAAGTTGGTAGCTACCTATTCTCACGAAGGAATTACGCATTTACGGACTCTTTATCTTTTATTTGTTTGGCCATTAAAAGATATTCGATTTTATTTTTAGGATTGCTTGCTAAAAATGGAAGGCAACAAAACGCAACTGGTCTCTAAATGGGCATCAGCCCCAAACTCCTGGTTTACCATTTCTATACAAATCACGTTTGTTTTTTGTAATAAAAGTTTGTCAAGACCTGATAACCAGTTTGTAAAACATGCTCATTATCAATATTCATTCCCCAACTGCAGCTCGCTTTCCCGATTTAAATTTAGCAGAACGTCATAAATAAACGCACTGACTTCTGGCCTGCGATTCCCATGTATTTCCATCGCAGTGCCGGTTCCGGATGGTGTTAACCAGAATAGCCACGTCGATATAAGGCACTTAAGTGCCTACACCGGAGACATGTCAATTAGCAGATGTGCGGGGCACGCACCATTCTGACCGCCTAGCCAGGCAATTAATTGAGTATGTACTAACTGTATCGCTAGGCCATCGGAATACGTCAGTTCCCCAACCGGGCACGCAGCATGCTAATTAACTTCCTCTTGCTGGTGATTCACAGCGATCTGTATCGCCAACTAGCTCCAAAGTTTTCCACACTTCAGTCCGGAACTAGAGGTCTGTGAGCACCTCAACCGAAGCTAAATGTGTTTTTTATGGGTTAGTCTGTAGTGCCATGCCAAAAAAGGCTGCGGAGCATCGGCCAATTGCCGACTGGGCTGATAAAAATCACATAAATTCCGAGCTCAACTCTCTCAGTCAGGCTTGGTTCAACGGTCGCGTTTAATTCGCTATAATGCGAGTGTGGCTGCCCTTGTGTGTGATAAGTCTGGATCTCTACAATCCACGATCAATCCACGTAGTGTGTGAGTGAGCTTCCTCAGTGGTGTGTGGAATTCGTATTATCTAGCCTCACTTGCGACTAAGTACGAGTATAAATGCGTCTGTCATAATTTGCCAGGCCCAACAGAAAAGCGGCAAAACACCCGCGATCCCACATCATTTCCATTCCGGCAGGCCAGCCAAACAGTTAGCTCTGATCTCTGTGCCGAACTGAATCCAGAACTGAATTAATTCCCGCACTACGTGTTTCACTGATTGCCCACTAATTGATAATTTCGGCTGCAAAATGGGTAAGTCCGACGACATAGTTAGTAAGTGTGTCGCCGAGTGTTGGTTTTTAGAGTACTGATAAATTGGTCATCGAGTGTCGCCTTGAATTATTATAAGTATTAAATATGATAATAACTTGTGCTCCGATTAGACTCCACATTTAACGCATAATCGTACGGAACGTGAACCGAGTTGTTGAGATAAAGTTCCCAGAATCAGCTTGTTACCTTTTCATTAGTCTTCATCTGACTTCGCTGCGATCGGTCCGCATTCCCTGCTTAGATTTCTTGTTCCAAAGGACCTGTAAGTTCCTCGATCAGTTTAAACTAATTAGAAATATAAATGAAACCTGTAAGAGCTGCACCCAAAAAGATAGGTTCAATTGCTGCTAGTCTAAGGGATATGCATTATTTTTCACAAAAGCAAGAAGGTAGCAAGAACTTAAAACAAAGTTGTAAATGTATGCTTGAAAAACGATCATCAGTAGATCCTATTTTTACCCTCACAGATTCAGTTTTAGAGTTTGTATTTTTCCAAAGGTTCCATATATACGAGTGGTTGGCTTCAAAATCAATGGAAACTTTAAGCACGTAAAAATCAATGAACTCCAACATATCAGCCTTTGATGGCAGACATGTCTGCGAAGGTAGCCGAAATTTGTAATCGTATCTTTACTTACTCAATCAATGAAAACACCACTGAATTCTGAGGCACTGGAACATTGTCTTATCAAATTGGCTTTAATTGCATTTTTAAAATGTGTGTCTCGTTAGTGAAATAGTGATGTGTGTGAAAGTGTTCATAGTTAATGACACTTTTGACATTGTAATTAGTATTATACTTGAATAGCTAGTCTGCTTAATAAGTTGCTTTGTATTTGCGCCCTGATAACAATTTTAAAAACGCCCCCATTTGTCTGTTGGGCTACAAAAAAAAAACATTTTAACCATATATAAACTAAAGCGCTCTCAGAAACACATTTATTTAGCAAGTAAAAACAAAACCCAATGCTAAATGGAATTACGGAAAGTTTTGCCATAGTCAAGCGTAAACAAAAAAACTCACTTCCGTTGGCTGCGAATTGTTAATAAAATTAGCTGTTCGACTTATACAGCTATAAGCTTATAAGCTTATCAAAAGCTGGGTACTTGAATTATCGGAACTACGAAAATCACGTTATGGTTTATTACCAAAACACCACGGAGGATTTTTCAAGAATGTCAATAAATTAATGGAACCTAAACATATACAAGTATATTACATATTTAGCTAGGTGTCACAAGAATAATTTTGTTAACATTTTGTGCTTACTTTTCCATGGAAGCTTTGTAGTTGGAGTATTTTTATGAAGTGCTAGCTCAGGTGTTCCTTAACCACCAACTTGTTGAGATACTACCCCAAGCAGATATGACAATCGGCTCCATTTCGAAAACCTTCACACCCTCTTCACGTGTCTCGCCTTAGACGCAGAAATTGTGTCACCACCTTCGATTTGGAACCAACTAAATAAATCCAAGGACAGGGTCGTAAACTGCATCGGCAATTACTCAATAATGAACAGTCGTAATCAAAACATGTTTACGCGTTTGGTGACATTTGATTTTATTCAGAAATTCAGGAGGGTGTGTAAGTGCCGAAGGCACTTGTAGATTAGTGCTTTTTAGTTTTTTTTTAGCCCTATACCGGTATTTACCACATACTCAGGCAACAATTATTAGAGCCTTTGCATAATATTATGCGCTTTACTTCCCGTATATAAATTATTCAGTGCAGACTATGAATCTAGGGAAAAAGATTCAGGAAAAACCCACTTGTATATCAAGTTTTGCAACCGGCTTAAAAGCCTTTCCCTGCTTTTTTAATCCTTCACTCGAAGGAGTTTTTGGGACATCGGTATATTATTTTTTGGGCTAATATCTGATGTACATATATAATCAAGGCTATGCCTTTTTAGATTACCAGGACCGAAGTGGGCCGGTCGCCCTTTTCCGGCGAGGTGGCGGAGCAAACAATTGGAGATTGGGGCATGGTTTGCGCTGCACCTCCTTATCACATTCCACATGTAGGAATATATACGGGAATGTATATGGGCCAGTTCAAGTGCAAAATGCACACAAAAAGCGCGATTCCGACCGAACAACAGCGGAATATTGAGATTTCGAACCGATGCCCATGGCAGAGAGAGTTCCGATCGGGAGATGGCAGCTCCGGTGATAGTATAGTGTAGTATGGTATGGTATAGCCTATAAATGGGATTGTCGTGGTTTGGGAGGCGCTTCCCCGATAAGATAATGCACGTGTAAGAGCACTCGTCAAGTCAAGTGTCAGTGAGCATTATTGGACGTGTATGGATTTCAAAAGCCTGCCATATAAGGCGGAAAATCTTTAAATTCGCGCAATGCGGCGATTCGAACAACATTACAGTTCTCCAGGGGGACTACGTCGGTTTAAATTCAATTTACGGATCCTGCTCGCGTGGGATTTACTTCGATTCGAAGGATTTTTTTCTGTAAGATTACAAAGTGCATAGCTAATAATTCCACTAATGACTTGGTGTCGTAATCATTACAAAAATCTGCTAAAAGTGTCAACGGTGATTACGCAGTAGTAGTAAATAAATTAATTATCAGTATTAATGCGACAGACATTAATTTGTCCACAGTGCAATTAAATCAATTTGGTAATTTTACCGCATTAAATAATGAGTTCCGCCTCCGCCTAACTTTTTCGGAGCTATTAAGTCCAGATATACTGGCTAATGGTCTGATAACGTGACGATTTGAAAACTGCACATAATGTGTCAAGCTGTTTGGAGTACAATGGGAAGCTATCTGGCTTCCCCTCCCATATGGTGGCATGCGTCATTCCGCACTTCGCATTCCGCACTCCGCATCCCGCCAAGAAATCGGAGCAGTGTCGAGTTCTGACCGTTTGAACTTGCACCCGATTGAATTACAAATGCGGACAGCATCATTAATCCCAGTCAGCAGAATTGCTAATGAGGCACTTTCGCTTTTCCACTCTTGCGCTCTTGCAGCTGCTTCTGTACACTCCCAGGCGGCCAGATGCCCTCAATAAGCCGGGTGGAGGAGAGCGGAGTACAGTACTCCTACACGGAAGTCAGTACGTTCCAGATAAGCGAAGGAAACACTCGAAACATGTCACCTGAACCGGTGAAGTCCGGTCGCATTTTTATGGCTGCCGTGGCAGGTGAGTCAATATTTTTATCATTTAATGTACTATAAATAAAACAGTTTTCCCCAATTTCCAAAGGGGTGACTAAAAAACATCATATCTTACATATTACATATATTTATATCTTATTTACATTACTAATGAGACAATCAATCAGCAATGTCGGCGATTTGTCATATATTGATTCATTTTTGTTTTTAAAAAATAAAATCCATACTAAATACCTAAGTTAAACTTAAAGCACATTTTACTCCAAAATAAATCTATTACGTTGTTTTAGCCAACTTGTCCGCCTTTGTGGTGGGCACCACCCTAGGATGGACCTCCCCCATCGGCCCCAAGCTCAAGTCCGAGGACACCTCAGACTCACCGCTGAGTCGGCCCATTACTTCCGACGAAGATGCCTGGATTTCGTCCCTGATTGCCGTCGGAGCTCTGGTGGCTCCATTTGTGGCCGGTCCGATGGCCGACCGCATTGGCAGGAAGTGGGTGCTCCTCTCCAGCAGTCTGTTCTTCGTCCTGGCATTCGGCTTGAATATGGTGGCCTCCGAGGTGTGGATCCTCTACATGTCCCGCCTCATCCAAGGATTCGGCGTCGGCTTCGTGATGACCGTGCAGCCCATGTACGTCGGTGAGATTTCCACGGACAATGTACGCGGAGCCACCGGATCCCTGATGCAGCTCTTCATTGTGGGTAAGTTTGTTGATTAGAGGCAGCAGAAGGACGAATAATTAATCCTATATTCTTAATCTTCAGGTGGCATTCTGTACGTCTATGCCATTGGACCGTTCGTTTCATACCAGGCTCTGCAGTGGTGCTGCATTGTGGTTCCCGTGGTGTTCGACGTGGTCTTCTACACCATGCCCGAGAGTCCATACTTCTTCGCCGGAAAAGGTCGAAAGTCGGAGGCGCTGAAGGCGCTGCAGTTCCTGCGGGGCCAGAGTCCCGAGGGCGTGCACGACGAAATGGCCGAGATCCAGGCCAATGTGGAGGAGGCGATGGCCAGCAAGGGCACGGTGATGGATCTGTTCAAGAACGCCGGCAACCGCAGGGCCTTGTTCATCTGCGCTGGCCTGATCTCCTTCCAGCAGCTGTCCGGCATCAACGTGGTGCTCTTCAACAGCCAGTCGATATTTGCCAGTGCCAACACTGGGCTGGATCCGGCGATTGCCACCATCATAATTGGCTGTGTCCAGGTGGGATCCTCGGCTCTGACGCCTCTGGTGGCCGATCGCCTGGGCAGGAAGGTGATGCTGCTGACGTCTTCCAGTGTGATGTCCATTGGACTGGCGGCCCTGGGAGCATTCTTCTACATGCAGCTGGTCAAGGGAGACATCTCCAGCGTGGTTTGGATGCCAGTTCCTGCCCTGATTATCTACAATATCGTGTACTGCACGGGCTTCGGACCGCTGCCGTGGGCTGTGCTCGGCGAGATGTTCCCGGCGAACATCAAGTCGGTGGCCTCCTCAGTGGTGGCAAGCACCTGCTGGACCCTCGGCTTCCTGGTCACCTTCTTTTATCCCAGCCTAGATGCTCTGGGCTCCTACTACGCCTTCTGGCTCTTCGCCGGCTGCATGGTAGTGGCCTTCTTCTTCGTGCTCTTCATTGTGATGGAGACGAAGGGCCTCAGTCTGCAGGAGATCCAGGATCGACTCAATGGCAAGCGCAACTAGAAAGCAGGTCTCTTAGTGATAGTGCCCTTGGTTCCATAATGATAAGGACCCTCTTGCAAGTATTTTACTGGTTAGTGTTGTAAGTCAGATTCCATTGTTACATGCTACTCCTGTTAAGTCGTAAAGAAAATACAAATCTAGTAATAATAACTATTATAAACCAACTTTTTTCACTGTTTACAACAATTACGTATGAAAAACGTTTGTCAATTACATTTTTTAGACACTTGCGGGCTTTTAACCTTTTTAATGGCCCAAATATGGGACATAGCGGCAGCTTATGCTGCTCAATCTCAATCTGATTGATGTCGAAGAACAGATATCGTTCATTCCAGTAGATACAACGATAGACTCCTGTAACTCCAAAGCAGACTTGCCCGATACCTACATAGCTGAATTTCCAAAGGAAGGCCATGAAAAGAAGGCACATGAACCTCCTCTGTAACTAAATAAAATAATATAAATATATAAAGGTTGAAATAACTGGCTATAAGCACTATAAGGTAAAGCTAACTAAAGGCTAGGATACATACTAACGTTGGACTCCCATTAGGTTGTAGTCCAAAATGTTCGCTGATTCCTAATAAAAATTAAAAAACACTAATCAGAGCATTTACTAGATAAGTCGATTGTCTATATCATCTCTCAGCTTTAAAGGTATGGGCTTCAAACTTTGGCATTTAAGTTTTGTTTAAACTTAAAAGAACATTTTTAAATTAATGACCTATGCGTCTTAACAAAAACATAATAAATTGTATCATTCGGCTTAATGACAAGTAATTCTTATCGGTTTTTTATCTTTATTTTTAAAAGTTTTACCTTTTTTACCTTCAGGCAGCCTAAACAATTATATATTGAGGGCGGTGAATTAGTAATACTATTGTATTGGACATCACGTAAACGGGGTTTACTTATTTGCTAAGATACATATTTTATATATTTCAATATTTATTGACAACATATATTTACAATTATTCACGACAGGGTCCTAGATGATAGATCCTGTGGATGGAGTCTTTTTAATCTTCTCCTTACTTTCAAGAGACGTCTAGCGAGAACATTTGGATGGTCTGATCTGGTTTATGCCTATGTTCCAATCCTTCTCCCATTTTTCGAATGAATATTCCTGTAAGGCTTCTGCGGCAATGACCAGGGAGGGCTATCTAACTAGACCTGCGGTATCATCAGCGTATGTTGCAACGAGAACGTCATCAGTGTCCACAGTTTGTGCGGATTATGGTAATTACTTTTAAGTCAATGCCTTACAGTATGAAATATTATAAAACTGTAGATTTAACACTGATATATAACGTATGTATATTATATGTATATTATATTATATTATATGTATATGTATATCAGCTGTATATTATATTATATCTCTAAACTTTGTATTAGATAACAGCAGTCTATTATATTTAATGTGTATGTATCAATATATCAAGTATATATCAAGTTTCTTCTATTTCATAGTAGATTTGCATTTCTCATTCTTCTAATATACATATATATAAATCATTTTAATCTAATGCCAATAACAGTGTATGTGGGAACCCTACTTCACTTATTTTAATATATTGCTTGGTAATTCTTAAGAATATTTCCCCACCCTGTGATGTTAGGATGCGGATTCTTCACTTAATACAAATTTATAAAAAAAAAAAAAATGTGGCATGCAAGACCATCAACAGAATGTCACGTAGGCAATTCAATGTTATACGCGTTTTCAAATCTCACGACTGAAAAACACAGAAGCTTTGCATGAGCTAACACTGGAATTGATTTTTCTGAATCACTCATAAAAACGGAAACACAAAAAAACATAAAAAACATTTTTCCGCAATGGCTGAAAAAACACAGGACGCCATGCTGGCCGAAATGGACTTGATCTTTCTGGACCACATATTGCCGAGGTGCTGCAAGGACATTACCACCTCGCAAGCGTTCTACAAGGACTACACCGCCGATAAGCCGAAGCGAACAGTCACTGCGTTCCGGAAGCAAACGGATCCCGCCCTGATTTCGGGCCACTATGCTAACAACCTGAAAGTCCGGCAGCAGGAGCTGAAGACGCGGACATGGCCACGATCCATGGACTGGCGAGAGGAGTACGCACAGTTCGTCAAGCGCAACAAGTGGTGCAACGAAGAGATCTACAAGCTCTTCTTCGTGCACCCGCCCATCGATTATTACCTCATCAGGGACTATCTGCAGGACCTGCTCAAGACCACCTACATCTCGGACTACTCGCCCAACCATTACCACTCGCTTATCAGCCAGCGCAAGCATAGGGTGCAACTCGATTCTGACGGCATTGACTATCGGACGACCTATGGCAACTACCACAATCGTATCCAGGAGGAGGATCCGTTCAAGGCGTCCCTTCTCCCAGAACCTGCATCGAACGTCAAGAGCATGGAGATAGGCAAGTTTGCCAAGGAGATGCGCAAGCTGTTCACCAAGTACAATCTCACCACCTACTATGAGACCATCTGCCTGCCGGCGCTGATAAAGGCCAAGGATGGTATTATGCCATCGGGACCCATCGATCGCTACACACTTCGCAAGTACTGAGTCGAAATCAAATCGAGCTAACCAGTTCACAATTACACAGCTACTGCAGTAATGCAGTTGGATTTATAAATTATACTGATTGTAGCTTAATATTTATTGCTGTACGAATTATACATTCGGAGTCTACTATGGCGCTAATACTACTATATCATAAAAAGGCTTACCTATTTATTCATCAAAGATGATAGCATGGTTTACAGAACTAAAACGGTTATTCCAAAGACACTAGGATAATAAGATGCGTAACGGCCATACATTGGTTTTTCATTATGCAGCCACTTTTTTGGAGCATAAAAATCTAAAAATAGAATTCACTTGCTTGTGTGAGTGAAAACAGTAAACAAAAAAGTTGAGCTAGAAGACGATTTTCGTTCCGAAATCAATTTTGATCTAAAAACCAATTTGATTAATGTTTTGGTCAATTTCGTTGTAATATGAGCTAAATATTATTTAAAAATTGATGCCGTGACTATTATTTTTTTAAGAAGTTGTTTTAATATCCTTTAGTTAAAATCGCCGCTCGAATTAGCTACCGTTTACATATAAATATTTTTATTATTAATTATCTGTAAGATATGTATTTTTTGGTACCCAGGGAAAACCACGGGGAGGACATTACAATTGTAATGGGGTCATTTATATGACCTTCGAGTCGACTTGAAATAATAAATGTTAAACATAAACTAAGCTAGATTTCTAACTATTGTTTTTCGATATAATTTGCTCCTTTTTTTAATTCATTTTATTAAATTTTATTAAATGCTTAAAAAGTAAAACTTTTATAATTTTGTTTAAAATATGTATCAATTTTATGCACATAACAGTAAAGATATTGATTACCCTACACTGAAAGGGATATATATATAATAATATAAATAATATAATAATAGATATAAATAAGTATCTATTATTTTGTCATAATTATATTAGTGAGTGAAATAGTGAGGTCTTTAAAGTGAGTAGTAAAAATTGTCTTAAATAATGCTTGAAGAATGTTTAACTTACTGTTGGAACTCATAGTTATTGCCGCTTTTAACATTTGTTTAGGAACATATTTTCATATTTTCTTGTAGCACTATAATTCCCAACTAGTTCTAGTGAAGACTGTAAGGCATGTCTTCTAATTTAGAGTCACAAAATATTTCAAGTAATCTCTCTTACCGGACGAGCAGTGAGTGTAGTGTATGTACCGCTGTATGTATATATGTATGTATGTATGTATGTATGTATGTATGTATGTATGTATGTATGTATGTATGTATGTATGTATGTATGTATGTATGTATGTATGTATGTATGTATGTATGTATGTATGTATGCATGCATGCATGCATGCATGCATGTATGTATGTATGTATGCATGTATGTATGTATGTATATATATATATATATGTATGTATATATGTATGTATGTATGTGTGTATGTATGTAGTGTGTGTGTTACTTGCACAAAGTAGTAAAAATTGTCTTAATTAAAGCCTGAAGAATGTTTAACTCACTGTCGGAACACATAGTTATTGCCGCTTTTAATATTTGTTTAGGAAACATATTTTCTTGTAGCCCTATAATTCCCAACTAGTTCTAGTGAAGACTGTAAGGCATTTAACTTTAGATCGAGATAGCCTGGAGCCAGCTCTAGAGCCAGCCCGAAAAAATCGTGTGCAATAAAATCGTATGGCGTTACGCATCTTATTATTCTAGTGTCTTTGGTTATACCACAGACATTCGAATAATGTTCCCCGACTATCCGCTACCCGCTAGTGGAAGTTTTTCTTTTTTTAATTTATATTTATTAAGCCGGTAGGTCCCTATCGGCTTGCCAGGTTTGTGGATCATGGAGATGAGCTTCCACTGGGCAGGAAATCATTGCAACCTCACAATGGCGTTGAAAATCAACGCTATGTAGAGGAAAGCACGACTGGGTAGTGCCTTAGAGTGGCATTGCATTGTGGCATGTGTGTCCCACTGACTTCAGTTATCTTGCTAGGGTCGACTTGGATTCGGACAATCGTTTGGGACAACAGAATGAGTGTCTCTTCAGCCTGCTGCGGACTGGCTAGATTGAAGGTTGGAAGCGGCAAGGTGATCGGCAAATGCTTCTGCTTGTTCCAGATCAGACCGGCACCAAACCCGTTGCGATCTACCAATGGAGCTTTCCCTAGGCAACTGCTCCTTCAACATCATCATCATTAGATCAATCTGCTTCTCTTGGAACGATGGGAGAGAGTTAACGCTTTCGTTGAGCGACTGCAGAATGGATTGCTAGTGCTGCAGTGCATCGACTCCTGTTGACTTAGCTGTTTGGATTGATCGCATTCTTTAGCCATGTCTGCATAGGTTACTACGCCTCGAGAGTGGGTCTGCCGGTCGCCAGTGGGAGCCAATGGAATCTTCTCGTGGAAGACTGCAGTTTTTAGCAGGGTGGTCACCGGCACACTTTACACAGATGACTATTAGAGATTCAACAAAATTATCTGATAGTGCATTTATAGCGGTTTTACAAGTAACATTTATTAAATCACTTCAACACATAAGTTCAATGAAGGAAGTACAGGGCCTTTTTGTTGCAGGTAATTACAATACGTCATTGTTTAGGGATATAACACTATGTCTGTATAAACACCGATTTCATTAAGTTTCTCACCTTCTGTATCACAGTTACATGGTTATTACAAACGTGAGCGTGTGTATGTTTTTCTGTTTTGAACGCATACAACTAGGATAGACAACACATATCTCTGCGCATATAACTATCGTATAAAGTAACTATATCTTGCTGGCGTCAACAATGCGGCCCAACAACACCTAATATAAAACCAGAGTATAAATAGTTTTGATTACAGTTAAGAACATAATCAGCGTTGAAACGTTTGGCTAAAAACTAATAATACCCTCATCGTACATCGATCGTCCTACCGACAAAGACGTACCCAGTACCTCCGCTAATTGCTTCAGTTTACAAATCGTATTCACTTGGCTGGAGCATCAAACGCGCAATAACAAAATAATAAAAGCATATTGCAATCATCT